TTTAGTCTAAAGATTTTAGACAAATCTTATGCGTGGAAAAATATGTAATACATTTGTGAAAGATGAAGAAGCTACCTTCCATCATCTTTTACAAGTTCATTTTCTATCTTAAGGTAAGATTTATCTTACATTAAAGACTGATTTTCCCAGTACAGTGAGGTCTTGACTTGAGAACTTAATCCGTATTGGAAGGTGGTTCTCAAGTCAAAAAGTCTGTAAGTCAAGTCTCCATTGACCTACAGTGCATTGAAAACCGATTAATCCCGTAACAGGCCGTTTTTGTTCCATTTTGGTTTTTTTCTGGTCTGTAAGTCAAATCTCAGTATGCAAGTCAAACCTAAATTTTGCGGCCAGAGAAGTCTGTAACTCAAAAAGTCTGTAAGTCAAGCCGTCTGTAAGTCAAGGGTCCACTGTACATCTTACAAATTATGAAATAAACAAATCTAAAGGCTGCATCCAAAACTTTTCATCTACTTATATTCATTTTCCTTCCCAATTCAAAACACCAGCCTTAGCATACACATGCATACCAATGGAAACCTTTCAGAAGCAAACTTTGCTACTATTAATCATTTCTACAACATCAAAATATACCACATACCGTACAAAGCAAAGACAACCCCAGCAAAAGATTTGTATCTTATCTCATATGGATAAGACTAGAATGAGTCCCCAAAGAACATCTAGGTTGAAATAAGAATTAAGATCAAAAGAGAACAAGTGGTGGCAAACAATTGAGGGATGGGTGGGTATGAGATGTCAGGGGACGTTTCAGTCATTATAAAAGATTTGTCCACAAAAGTTCACTTGAAAAAATATAACGGTCGTCTTTAAGGTGCCACCACATTTTTTAAAACGTTTTTTCTCCTATTGCACTTTTGTTTCACTTTTGTTTCCTATTTCACTAATCGTTTAGTTGTGTCCGACTCTTCGTGACCCCATGGACCAGAGCACGTCTTCCACTGCCTCCTGGAGTTGGGTTAAATTCATGTGGGTAGCTTTGATGACACTGTCCAGCCATCTTGTCCTCTGTCGTCCCCTTCTCCTCCTGCCTTCACACTTTCCCAACATCAGGGTCTTTTCCAGGAAGTCTTCTCTTCTCATGAGATGGCCAAAGTATTGGCGCCTCAGCTTCAGGATCTGTCCTTCCAGTGAGCACTCAGGGTTGATTTCCTTCAGAATGGATAGGTTTGTTCTCCTTGCAGTCCAGGGGCCTCTCAAGAGCCTCCTCCAGCACCACAATTCAAAAGCATCAATTCTTTGGCGGTCAGCTTTCTTTCTTTCTTTTCACTTTTACCTATCATCATTAGAATAGGTTTGTTGAAGGGTGGGTCTTAGGCAGGGACTTGAAGAAGGAGGGAGAAAAATTGACTAAGCCTGGAACTATCTATTTAGTTCACACTGTAGGTGGGGAACTAGATTTGAAATTTTGCTCTTAGACTAAAATAACTAAACAAAGCAAAAAACAAACAAAAGTTTTAAAAAATTCTCAACCCAACCTGTTTGTGAAGACCTAAACTGTCAGCAAGAAATCTAGGATAAAACTCTTATTCCCAAACACATCACTTCACCATGTGCATTCCATGCTTGGTTTTGGCTATATGCCTACAAGACCCATCCCTCCTCCCTGTGCATTTTGATTTATGTTACAGAAGACATGCTAATTCATCCCTCTTCCCTCAATGCATCACGTGGGCTGACAGAGAACACAGTCCAGCCCTACATGCAACCTTGGGATTTGTAAAGGGGTTTCTTTAACAATGCCTCTATGACACTGTTAAAAGAATGGAGACGGCTGTAAATGGAGATGTCTGTATTAGCACACCTACCTGTGTATCAGTTGGTTTGGTGGCAGCGTTGCATTCATTATCATCTACCACAGACACATAGGCACCGACCACACATTTCACAGCTCTCATCTGATAGCCCTGACCACATGTTGCAGTGCACTGGGGGAAGAGAACAGATATATAAGAAAGCTCTGAGTGCATTGATACTGCAAAGAAAGCTCTCTCTAATCTTCCACAGTTTACCAGTAATGATTTCCTGGGACATGTAGCTTTGAGAAGGGGTGCAGTGCTCCCTACAGTTCCCTGAGGATAGGGAATGACTATTATACTCATATGAGTCTGTTGTATGAGTCTGCAGTAGGCTTTGCAACACCATGGCATTACTTCTAAATGCATTATTTAGAGGCAGGAAATTTCAGCATGCCAATATCTTGTGCATAATCCACGGTAATGTAAAATAAATAGAGGACTCTTTCTACTGCTTCAGATCCTTTAATTTTTTCAAATTAGGTCAAATGGTTAAAATCAGCTGCTTCTGTTGGAAGCATGCATGCTTCATTGATTCCCTTCAAATATACATGTGCAAGTGTTTAAATCATTTACCATTCTGGGGATTATAAATCTCATTTAAACTCTGTCACATTTCTTTACCAAATCGACAACACCAGCAATCTTAATGGAACATGATGAGGGCCGGAAGACAAGACCTGCTGAGGAGATATATGCGTGGTCTGGACAGGTTAAGCCGTTGACTTGTTTTGAATGCATTATTAAATTAGAGTCATTGTTGCAACACACTGTGAATGAAGATTTTCACAGGTGCTTGGTGGTAAAGCGTCACTCTGCATGTAGTTTTTTAAATATTTAAAAGCCAATATTACATTTCTTTTTGAAGACACTCACAGCTTAGTCTAAATAACCTGAATCAAAACCTGTTCTTCTTTTCCAGAGGTTATTCTCATGAAGCTACCTGTTTAAAGACTACTTTCATGGCAGAGCATAAAAGTGTATTGCTTATTCAGTCCTTGACATCTCTAATTACAAGACCCACTAAGTAGGCATGACTTTGAACGATCTCAGTCTTGGACCACTTTAAGAAGCTACTGACAACTGGAGGACCAATGATAGATATCAAATCCAGCAGCCGTCTAGGTTTAAATCTCCAATAAACTTATCTGGATAATCTTGGGTGAGTCCTTCCACAAATAAACTGGGAAGGAGAAGATCTACATTCACTGCCCTGATTTCACTGGAGGAAAGGAAGGATATAAATGTCACTCTCTATGGGCTAAATCTAACTGTTAGTCCCAGCTGAGGTACACCGACTGAATCAATGGGAGACAGAAATGATAACATAACAAGTCCTATTGATTCAATGGGTTCCATCTAGCTGGGACTTGGACCTCACTAATGGGCTAACAAACAATAAGTAAAATCTGCTTATATCCTTGGTAGTTCAAGCACATGAGATATCCATGTTCAACAACTGAGATTAATAGCCCCCAATTTCTGTGACAAACACTGGGTGAAGCGTTGACAAGACTATTTGAAGAGTCACTCTGTTTCAACAAGGGAATGAAGTCTCAGAATAATCATCATATTCCATTGAATTGTAGCAGTTAAGAGTGTTAGACTGAGATGGCTTGGCTTCAGAATGTCACTCAGTTACACAATTTACTAAGTGAGTGTGGAATAAGTACTGCCTCTTAGTCTGAGCAATCTTACATGATTGTTGTGAGTATAAAAGTAGGAGTCAGAGTTCTAAGACAATGTCTTCACCTCTTTGGAGGAAGGATGAGATAGAAACAAAAAGAATAAGCACAATGCACAGACAGCCTGCACATTTTGTTCCACTCACACACTTCCAGGAGACTCCAAGACCTTTACAGCAGCAGTAACAAAATTAAGTGACATAGGAATATTTGTCTATTTATATCTTTTGTGTTATTTTTCTTAGAATAATCATCATCTTAGAACTGCAGAGCTGCAAGGGACCCTCCGGATCATTGAGTCTAGGCCCTGTCAGGGAAACACGGAGGGAACTGAACTCCCAGCCTCTCTCTCTCTCCACAGCCAGATACCTAAAACCAATGAGCCATCCAGCAGTTAAATACACCTTTTTCTAAAAAGTTGTACAAAACTGAAGGGAAGAATTTGGAATATTTGGAATGCATTGCCTATGCCTGGCTTTTTGTAGCCACAAGCAGAACAATTTTCTTTCAGCACCCAAACCTGCAGCAGTAAGGATACTTTAGGAGTGAACGTGGTGAGGGTGCATCCAAACTGTCCCCTTTGCTCTACAATTACATCTGTGTAAACCCAGGATCAACCTGTCCAAGTAATAAGGAGTGGATTGCAAAAGGTGTTGAATGTACTAGCATCTTTCATACAAGGATTAGTGTAACCATTGGCCTTTTGGAATTACCATATCACGATTTGGCTGACCCAGACCTTGAAAGAATTACCTAGGGATTTAGTACAAGTTACTTTTACGGGGGAAAAAAAATAACATTTCCAAGCTCTGCTTCTACCTTGTTCTTGTTGATGTCTCGGTTTGTTCCATTCCTTTTATTCATCTTGTAGGCCTCTTAAGTGAAGGACTGAGATTTTTTTTTAAATCATAGTCCCCAAACTACAGTATTCATATATGGGAGCTCATTAAAAATGATGAAAACAAAGGAACGAATGGGCTTTCCATACCTGTCCCCATGGTCCAACCTGCCAGGCAGCACATTCCTGCTGCTGACAAGTTTGCATGGAATCTGGTTTAGTCTCAGCGTTGCAAAGTCGGTCGTTTAATCGCTCTCCTCCAAACTGGCACCAGATTTGCCGGTGCTTTTGCCCTTTCCCGCAGGTTACTAGGCACTGTAGAAAGACAATATCAGGCCAGTATCACTCAACTGAAAATGTATTTATAAAAGGAAGAAAGCAGTTCAAGGATGGCAGTGGGTCTCTGGAGGCCAGACCAAGACTGAAGTGGGTAGTCTGTCCAACGACACAGCCAACTGAGCTGCAGAAACGTTATGTGGACAGGTTTTCAAATGTATTCTTGAAAGCTTTCATGGCTGGGATCCGATGGCTGTTGTAGGTTTTTTAGGCTGTTTGGCCATGTTCTGGAGGTTTTCCTTCCTAACGTTTCACCAGTCTCTGTGGCCGGCATCTTCAGAGGACAGGAGTTGGAACTCTGACTGTTCTCTGGCTCCTGTCCTCTGAAGATGCTGGCCACGGAGACTGGCAAAACGATAGGAAAGAAAAGCTCCAGAATATGGCCAAACAGCCCCCAAAAAATCTACAACAACCAATGAATAGTTTTTGATTACGAGGCAAGACTGGATAAGGATATAAAACAAGGTTATTCCTTTGTGGAAATTGATTTCTGTAAATTCTACCTGTGCCTGCTAAGCATATGCTTGTAGTCGGGCTAGAAGGGAGAGCCAGTATGCCGGCTGACCCCTATTTCAACTTACTCAGCTGTCAAACAGGGAAGTGAGTCTGTTCTACAATGGGATTTCATAGACAAAAGATCATAGGCTGATAGGGAGCATCTGCGTGGCTGGATCGATAGCATAGTTTTCTCCTCCATGTGTTCTGAAGGCCTATAAAATTGAGCTTTTTATTTATTTATTTCACATCTCACTTCTGAACAGAAGGGAGCATACTAGGTTAATCTCACCAAAATCATTCATGCTTTAATTTCACTGAAATCAATGGGACGTGTTAACCACAAGTAACATGAGGCATGAGGCAACTAATTTCAATTGAACTGAATGGTGACTCATTTAGGCTATGCATATTTAACAGGCAGTTAAGTGCCACTGCAGCTGCCCTTTAATCAAAAAATCTCCGATGACTTTATGCAGATGACTTTGAAACAGTAAGGCTCCTTACTTCTGACCAATCGCCTGTTTTCCACTGTGGGCAGGACAGCTCGTTGCATCGCTGCACCGTCACCTTCTCCTGCTGACTGCACTTACTGTCCTCCAGAACATCATTGAAGGTGTTCATGCAGACAGCTCTGCGCCTCTTTGTGCCACCACCACAGCTCTTTGAGCACTTTAAAGAAAAAAGAGGGAGGTGGAGGGAAAGCAGAGTGAGTACCCAACCGAAAAGGTCATTTCTCCTCTCAGACTAGGCCAGCAGAACATCCAGCTTCAAGTGTGGATTTGTCCTTGAGCCCTGAAAGATACTTTGGAAGAAGAACTGGGATTAAAACCTAGCTGTAAGAATTTCCTTATTTACAGACCCAACAACATTTTATCCAACCAAGGAAACTGACAGTTTTTAATGGCCTTTTCTAAGTAATTTTCTTTCATTTTCTGTGAGAGTGAAAAACTGTAGTCCCTTCTATCCGCTGTAGATATCCTAATAAACAAACGGTTGCAAGTAATACATATTCCTGCGGTATTTATTTGTTCCTTTCTCATATCATGTCTGCCGCCTTTGTAGACTCATTGTTTTTAACTCTAAATACTTTCCTTCGACAGTGTAAACTGCCATGGGTCCTTTTTAAGGAGGAAGGCAGGGTGAAAATATTTAAAATAAATAAATAAATTAGCACAGAGAAGTAGAACTAATGGGTGCAAATTCTAGTAAATATGAAGTCCTCCCCTCTGCCCCCAAATACCTCTGAATCATTATTATAGATATTAGAAAATATTATATTATAATTCTATTTCACAAGCAGGAAAAGATGTTCCAAGACGGCACAAACACTGCAAGTAGAGAGGCTCACAAACTGCCACTTCAGCAGTTTGCTGGTTCGTTTATTCGCCGAACGAATCTTTGGCACTTCCTAGCTTCACCTCCTCTGTCAGGCACCCACTCAGAAGCAGTGCCTGAATGGAGATGGGACAGGGAATCTGGGACACTGCCTCTGAGTGGGCGTCCATCAGAGAAGGCGGGGCTAAGAATAATTTTCTAAGAATAATAATACCTATTTGGCTGGTAAACAAACTGGCACAAACAGGTTAAGCCCATCTCTAATTACAAGCCTGGAGTTCTCCTCATTAGACCAGTGATTTTTTTAAAAATGTTCTGTCTTTAAATTCTCTCCACATTGACCACTAATTACAGGCAATTCTTATGATTGATCTAGATTCTATAATGTATGCCTTCTTTACCAGAAAGCTAAGGACCTTCACAGCCTTTTCAAGTGAACTGAATATATGCTCGGTATGAAGAAGCATGTTAGTCACATTGATCAACAGACTTATCTTTCAGGGCTGCTTGCCTGCAAGTACTGAACTTAAGTTTCAGAGTTCTTCCTGGAGCAATCTGCAACCACAGCAGTTGAGGCATATTATACTCGTAATCGGATCTAATCCTTGGGCATCCTTTACCTCTCAATTTATTGCCCCAACTAGGGGACTGAACTAGATGGCCTGCAAGACCTTCTCCAATTCTATGATTCAGTTTGAAAGCAACTACTGGGTGGAATGCAGAAAGATCACCACGTAGTGTAGAACACCAAAGTCAACTTTTTGAGAATCTCAGCTTTTGATTTTGATTTTTTTTATAGGAGACATTTTCTAGACTTAATAGTTGGTCGGACAAGTAGAACACCAAAGTCAACTTTTTGAGAATTTCAGCTTTTGATTTTGATTTTTTATAGGACACATTTTCTAGACTTAATAGTTGGTCAGACAATACTACCCTGTTTCCCTGAAAATAAGACCTAGTATGATTTTTCAGGATGCTCATAATACAAGCCCAACCCTAAAAATAAGCCCCAGTTAAGTGATACCCCACCCTCCACCATTGTGCAGCAACCAGAAGATGATGACATGACTGTAAAATAAAACATCCCCTGAAAATAAGCCCTAATGCGTTTTGGGAGCAAAAATTAATACAAGACCCTGTCTTATTTTTGGGGAAACACGGTATATAGGCCTAGTAAAATCTGAGTAGCCTGAAAGACAGCTGAACAGGTTATCTCAGGAGTCCGCTTTCTATGTAGCTTCCCACCTCTCTCTGTTATCTAGCAAAACCACAACAAATTATGCAGTTAACAATGCAAAATAATATGTTTCAAGATTGCATTCTGGTTACAGTACTACGTTTTCCTCTGTTCAGAATCAAGATCACATTGCTGGAAAATTTCAACTCCTCATTGCACACATGGCTCTGACTATATTAACCCTTTTTCATAACCCCCCCACCCTCCAGCAACTTTGCTGCATCCTTTCTATGCAGCACAGACTTACTTCTGTCCAAGCTGAATAACGCCATCCTCCCGCGCTACAGTCTGCTGAGCATTTCTCCCTAGAGCTTGGCTTGGGGATGCCACTGCAGTACCGGTCATCGTATTTCTCCATTTTCCCATCTACCTTGCTGTACTTTGTGCAGGAGATCTCCAAGGTTTGGTATCCCAGTCCGCACTGTGCAGTACATTCACTCTTTCGAGAAACATGCCACCTACATTTATTGCGAAGAGCACAAGTTAGTAATGTCAGCCACTGCAAGAAAAAGCTTGTAAGACAATCACAGGGAAAGCTGAAACAGGAAAGGAAAACAGCAGCAGAACACATAGTTGCAGTCTAAATCTTAAACACAAGCGAATTTTTATGATACCACATAGCACTGAAATTATGTGCGTGGTCAGGTGTTTGTCCATTTAGCTCCATACCACCTACTCTACTTGCTTTCCAGGGTCTCAGGCAAAGAGTCTGGTCACACAACAAAAAAACTTGGGATCTGATTGGTCAGGTGTTTGTCCATTTAGCTCCATAACACCTACTCTACTTGCTTTCCAAAGAACCTGGTCATACAACCAAAAAACTTGGGATCTGACCTGTGTTAAAAATCATGCTGAGTTTCACATTCACACAATGAATTCCCAAGTGCATATTTATTTTCCTCTGACTCCAATTATTTTCCTAGGGAGTGAGTTAAAATAAATGGCCATCAGAGGGTTTCTTAATTAACTTAAGCCCATTGTGAATGTCACAGCCAGTTTTAAAAGGGAGCATTTCTATCACTCAGTAGGAATGCAGGAAACAATTTAAAAACATGTGACCTTAGTTGGCTGAAGTTAAATGTTACATATTGTGGTTTGTTTTTTTTTAAATGGAGACAGGTTTAAAGTTCTTTTAAAAATAATCTTAGAACTGCAGATCTGGAAGAGACCTATTAATCATTAAGTCAAGCCCCTCTCAAGGAGGCACAGTGGGGAATCCAGTCTCTGACCTCTGGCTCCACAGTCAGATGCCTAAGCCACTGAGCTATCCTTTTGCAACCTGCTATCTGATCTTGTAAACTGAAAATGCCAAGAAATGAATCTGTGATCTTCTGCGTGTAAAGCATGTGCTGTACCATTTATCTGTCACTTATCTTCTGCAGACCTCCTAATCTGGAAATTATCAGTGCACACTTTGAGCCTTGGGAATTGCTTATTTGAGACGGAGAAACACACACTATGGAATTACTTCACAACATTTTCCTCCTTCAGACTAAAGTTTCTCATCCCACTCCATGGAGGATCCTACACTTCTACAAATGCAATTCAAAAGGTGTAGTTTTCTCTGCAATCAATGCAGCCTCACAAAGGGAAAGGATACACCTGATAGGATTCGCTCACTCACATAAATGTTAAAAGTGCATGGGGGGTGGCAGCACTGGCAGCACCAGAAGGGAGTGCAATGAAACATGTGCCTCCCTCCCATTGCTTACAGCCTATGGGAATCTCATCCCAACAGCACACTTTTTGGGGTAAATATGGACAACAGTGTAATCAGGACAATGCATGCTCAAATGCCAAGAAGCGGTGGCTAACTGCTCAAATGGGGATTGGAGGATAAAACAAGGGCAAAGGAAGATACTATGATGGGCTCATGGTCTGAAACTCTTTGTGTGCTCTCACTTCGGTAACAAGCATTAATCAGAAACTGGAAATTTAAATAAGGCTTTAAAAGGCCAAAACATATACTTCACATGCAGAAGGTACTGCCTAGCCTTTCTTGGTAGGCTGAGTTTAAAAGGTACTTCAGTCTGGAACTTTAGGTAGCTATTGTGGGTCCAGAAAAGCAGCGTTCCACCAGGTGGATCCTGCTAAATATAGGACGCAACACATGGCAACTTTCAATTTTCTTATCCTATGGGCATCTCCCTTAAAAATCAATACGACTTTGAAGGAAACACAGTTACGGAATGTGTTCGTCTGAATTATGATCAAAGATCATCTCCTCAGAATTACACTTGCATATCTTTGTCCTCTACAAACTACAAACCCTGCAAAATGACAACAATAACACCCAAGTAATGTTTCTGCCCTGGTCCACATCCCTTCAAAGTTCCTCAGGTAAATCAGGAGCGTTTGTGTACACTACTTCTAAACTTATTTTCACAGAAATGATCACATTTCCATAACTTTGCAACTCTGCACTCCAACCTAATTTTCCTTGTAATGGGCCACTCTTTTTTAGTTTCCAAAGCAGCATCAAAGAGATTTAATAGCATTTTAATTACACAATACGGCTAGTTGTATTTGTCAGAAACTGTAATCCAAAATTCACTCAGCAATATTGAGTTTCTATGTGGACTCACAAAGTGGTGGTAAAGAGAAAAAAGGGATTAACACAAATGTGCCGACACTAACGAATTATTTGAAAATGTACTCCCCAAACATCTTTCTTGGATAAATGGCTAGGGGAAAAATTGCCCTTGATCAACAGGGAAATTTTGACCATATGCAGTGGTGGTTGCCAGAGGAATATAGAACTAAAAGCAGAGGAAGAAAGTGCTTCTGTTTGTGCACAGATGGGAGAGAGTAACAGTGGATATTGATTTGTGATGTTTAAGTTCTTAGACAAAAAGTGTCATTTATGTTCTAGGGATCTGTGAAGATTTGAAGACAAAAGGAGGTAGAGGAATTTATAAGCAATTCCTACTGAATTCCAAACTGCACAATCTGTGAGCATTCAGTATGTGTGGAAATTTTTATCTACTGTTGCAATAATGAGACTTAAGAGTTGATCTAGGTGGAAAGTTTCTTTCTGCTTTCACGTTTTTCATTGTACCACCACCTTAGACCCCCTTCCCAAGTATGTATATGTATTCCATGCTAATCTACAAGTGGAACATTCTCAAGATGCCTCAAAAAATAAAAATAAAATCAATTATCCTGAAATGAAAATGATAAAATTAAAAAGTACAGGATTGTTAAAGATTTAAAATTGGCAGCAACAGATTCATCATGGTTTAGCTATTCAATTCTTAATGGAAAACATGTTTGTGTGGCACCAAATTATAGCACAGTATATGTCACACAGGCCTTTCTGGGGGGGAAATTTCCACAAACAGGGCAACAATACACTAACAAGGCCACATGGCACTGCCAGTCTTCTTGAAAGGAGGGTAAGTTTCATTGAAAGCAATGGTGGTGGAGAAACTCTTAGTTTTGTGTGTAAGGAAGAGTATCTGTCTTCATCCATTCCCAGTTGGGTCCAGAGCCAGCAGTAGCACAGGGCCTGGGGATAGAGGTGAGCCCTCCACAAGCCTTTAGAGGAGTAAAGGAGAGTGGTGGACAACTCTTTTAATTCACCACTCAATATGTTCCTAAGTGTGAGGAGAGTTGGAGTCTAAGACCATCAGGAAGAGCACACGTATCCTATCCCTGGTGGAAGAGCTAAAGTTGTCCATGTATGCTGTAGGTAAAACTATGTGAATTGTTAACTTTTACAAGAATAGCAACAAATATGGAAGCAGCTGAGCCCAGGCACTAAAACGATTAGTTTTCCCTTGGCTCTGGATTGCCAGATTTTAGTTAGCCACCTTTCACTCCAATTATTGCCATATTCCTCTTCTGCCCATTTCCACAATTTCTTACCTGAAATGCTCACATTTTGTGAAATTTGTGACTGGGGTAGATCTGGGTTTAAATCTGGGTGAGGGTTGAGGAAATGACATCTCATAAGGACTAACAAGAGGTTGTGGAGGAGGCAGTCAAGTATGTCCTGACTCCAGGACTTAACCTTCCTGTAGTCCTTCCCTTGCCCCATGAATTCTTTTCAGTAAAAAATACATCCAGGAGACAAATTGTGGAGAGGCTTATTGATCACACTTAACATTGTGACCTTTTTGATTGTGCCTGAAGGATATCCAGACTAAACAGGTTATACTTTGTTACACATAAGATTTGTAGTCTCAGCCTTCAGTTCTGTTCTCTGTCTGAGCAAGAAGAGGCAGTTATTGCATCTGGGAAAGCAGATCCTCTTGGCTACGGGCAAGGTTAAATTGCTAATATAAGGAAAGGAGAGGCTTATGGAGTAATGCAGTCCATTCTTCCATGAAATGTACTGTATATGTAGCAGAAACACACAGAAGTTAAGATAAGGATATACAGTATATCACAGAAGTGAGTACACCCCCTTACATTTCATAAATATTTTAGTATATCTTTTCATGTGACAACACTGAAGAAATGACACTTGGCTACAATGCAAAGCAGTGAGTATGCAGCTTGTATAATAGTGTACATGTGGTGTTCCCTCAAAATAACACAACATACAGCCATTAATGTCTAAACTGCTGGCAACAAAAGTGAGTACACCCCTGAGTGACAATGTCCAAAATGGGCACAAATTGTCGTTTTGCCTCCCTGGTGTCATGAGACCCATTAGTGTCACAAGTCTCACAACTGTGAAGGGGGACCTGGTGTTATCATGAGACCCATTAGTGTCACAAGTCTCATAACCTGGTGTTATTCCTCTCTTAGAATGGTCCCTGGAAGTTCCACATGGCACCTCATGGTAATGAATTATCTGAGGATCTGAAAAGACGAATTGTTGCTCTTCATAAAGATGACCTAGGCTATAAGAAGATTGTCCAAACCCTGAAACTGAACTGCAGCACAGTGGCCAAGACCATACAGCAATTTAACAGGACAGGTACCACTCAGAACAAGCCTTGCCATGGTCAACCAGAGAGTCGAGTGCCCGTGCTCAGCATCATATCCATAGGCTGACTTTGGGAAATAGATGCATGAGTGCTGCCAGCATTGCTGCAGAGGTTGAAGGGGTGGGGTGTCAGGTCAGACTGTCAGTGCTCAGACCATACGTCACACACTGAATCAAACTGGTATCAAGGGCTGTCATCCCAGAAGAAACCTGTTCTAAAGATGATGCACAAGAAATCCCACATGCAGACAAGCAGACTAAATGGATTTCTGGAACCATGTCCTGTGGTTTGATGAGACCAAGATAAACTTAATTGATTTAGATGGTGTCAAGTGTGTGTGACAGCAACAAGGTGAGGAGTACAAAGACAAGTGTGTCATGTCTACAGTCAAGCATGGTTGTGGGGATTGCATGAGTGCTGCTGGCACTGGGAAGCTACAGTTCACTGAGTGAAGCATGCACTGTGACATAAGGGAACCATGAATGCCAACATGCACTGTGACGTACGCAATCCCTTTGCTTTGGAGACTGGGCCGCAGGCCAGTATTCCAACATGATAATGACCCCAAACACAACTCCAAATCGACCACTGCTTTGCTAAAGAAGCTGAGGGTAAAGGTGATGGACTGCCCAAGCATGTCTCCAGACCTAAACCCTATGGAGCATCTGTGGGGCATCCTGAAATGGAAGGTGGAGGTGCGCAAGGTCTCTAACACGCACCAGCTCTCTGATTTCGTCTTGGAGGAGTGGAAGAGGACTCCAGTGGCAACCTGTGAAGCTCTAGTGAACTCTGTGCCCAAGAGGGTTAAGGCAGTGCTGGAAATAATGGTGGCCTCAACAAATATTGACACTTTGGCCCCAATTTGGACATTGTCATTTACGAGTGTACTCCCTTTTGTTGCCAGTGGTTTAGACATTAATGACTGTGAGTAGCCTTATTTTGAGGCGACAGCATTTACACTGTTACAAAAGCTGTATACTCATTGCTTTACATCGTAGCCAAGTGTCATTTCTTCAGTGCTGTCACATGAAAAAAACATAGTAAAATATTTATGAAATGTGAGGGGGGTGTACTCACCTCTGTGATATACTGTACCTCACACACTAAATTGAAAGTACAACTCTTTCTGTTGTGATTTTTTTTGCTTATACTAGAATCAGGTGTAAAAACATTGATATTAGAGGAGAAGACCAGCCCTAAAATACAAGATATACATGTATCTGACAGTCCAGGGGATACCTTAATTCGCAATTTGTATTACACAACTCAGTTATCGGATCAGGCTGGGGAATTTGGTCACATCTTTGGTCAGACACCATGAGTTGATCAGATTCTCTGGTGCAAATAGGTTTTCTTTTCCGTTCTCCTAAAGAATAAAAGTAAACATATTTGTATGAGGCACAGAGAGAATACACTTAATATTGCTTTAAAATCACTACCTCATGCTCTTTCAATAGGATTTCCTCCTGAGTTCTTCTTTTCCGTTCTCAAGGATCACAATCTGCTTCTTTTGTGTTCTTTACATTGAGTGCTATAGAACAACATAGTGGCCCAAATCCTTTTTACATAAATTTATGCAGCGGAAGCTGATAGTCATCAAATCATGCCACTAATATTTCTTTTAAATTTAGTCACTTGCAATCCTCGTTAAATGAGTATGTCACCAACAGACAAACATATAAATTATCAATTAAGGAATAAATCAACAAGCAATTAAAATGCTTTGCACATTCTGATAAAAGCTTCTAGTGATAGGGATACTGATCTGTTTTTTTTTTTTGGGGGGGACACAATAACATGTTTAATGGACAATGTTTGCTCTGTCCCAGTGTGTGTTATTGGTCCCAATGAATGGATGCAGCATCGTAAGGTATTATTTTCTACTTCTAATCTTCAGCATACCCAAACAACCATAGGAATGGAAAATGCATTCTGATAAAAGCTTCTAGTGATAGGGATACTGATCTGTTTTTTTTTTTTGGGGGGGACACAATAACATGTTTAATGGACAATGTTTGCTCTGTCCCAGTGTGTGTTATTGGTCCCAATGAATGGATGCAGCATCGTAAGGTATTATTTTCTACTTCTAATCTTCAGCATATCCAAACAACCATAGCAATGGAAAATCTCCCCAACTGGCCACTAGTTTCAGTAAACGAGGCTGAAAGTGTCACTCATCAATTGCAAAACAACAAAGCACCAGGAATGGATTTTTTCCCCCCAGAAGTTATAAAATCAACATCACATCAACTGCTGGGCCACCTTGTTGGCAGTTTTATTTTCCCTCATAGATCAAAGGGGCAAATCTGTAATTGTTTCTATATTTAAAAAGGAGATAAAACTGATTCTGTCAATTATTACCCAAACGGATTGTTGTGTGTAATAAGTAAGCTCTGTGCTAAGCACTCTGTAATAAACTAATTGATTGAAGTCAAAATGAGCATATTATGATAGGAGAGTAAGCTGGATTTAGCTAGGGGTGATCTGCTCTAGTGCATTGTGAGCATAGCCCCTTTATTGATAAATATGTAAAAAAAAGGAAAGAGGTGTTTTTTTTAATGCAGCATTTATTGATCTGAAGGCAGCATTTGATTCCATACCTTGTGCACGACTCTGGGAAAATTATCTTGTGCAACTATGGATGACAAAAGATATATTTGAAAAATTAAATATTTTTATAGTAATACCTGGTTGAAGGCATAATGCACTGCTGATGGTCATCTTACATATTCTGTGTCATGCACAAAAGGTTTAAGTAAGACTGTTTAATTTATATGTGAACAATATTGTTGAGCATTTAACACATCCAGCTTTTCCTGGACTTAGCTGGCTACTAAATTAATTTCAATTATATTATATGTAGATGATGCAGTATTGTCTTCTCAAATGAAGAAGGCTTGAGAAGATAACTAAGGGCATTTTCAAATTATTGCTTGAAGGAACACCTAGAAATTAATTACAGCATGTGAAAATCAATGGCATTCTCAAAATGTTACTGTAAGGGGTCATTGAATGGGCAACCAATCAAACAAGGCATGTTTTTTCAGGGATTAGGAACATGGGTAGCCCAAAAATAGTATGTTGTAGAAAAGGCTTTACATATACAATCTTGAGACAGTTTTTTTCACAGTAATAGTTTTATATCAGCAGTGCTCAAAACCTATAGAGCCTAGCCATTAGCTCCATTGCTGTACAGAACTCAATCTGGGCCGATACAAACTTAGAAACTCTGTGGTCTAAGTTTCTTAGACAAATATTTGCCATACCAGGCTGTGCTCCAAATTCTTCTTTGAGGTTAGAAGAGGTCTTCCTTCATTGTCTATACAAGTCTGACTCCGGATATTTAACTCTTGGCTATGGCTGGATTTAGTTCCTTCCGGTCCATTATCTTTTGTTATATACATAGGACTCATATGAGGGCCAGTCAAGGGAAGATGTTAAGTCCAAAATGCATACTTTTGGACCGACACCTCACCACCACTAGTTATGGCAACATTAGAAATTTAATAGAACTGGTATAAAACATTAAAATGATTAATGTGCCATCAAAAAAAATCATGTCCTTGGTATGACTGTGTTTTAACAAGTTGTCCAAATACAATGGTACCTCATTTGTAAGTGCTAACAATTCCGTCACGTAATAGTCATGCCTTGAGGTCATGTCAGAAGAATTCCATTACAAAATCGTGTATACCCCCCATGATGACAGCATTAAAATCCTTGCCCATGTCATTACTGTTTTGCTCTTTTTACAGAGATATGTGTAAAGAGTCAATTTCTCCTTTGTTAGATATTGAATGGGACTGCTCATCAGATTTTTATGTATCTTTTCTTCCTGCAGAGATAAACAGGTGATGGTAATGTCTGCAAAAAATTTTGCAGCAGCAATTAAAATGTGATTAAGTATGGCTTTACAATCGTAATTCTTTGCAGACTTACAGTACTTGTATAATTTTTTTGAGTATGGGTCTGTATAGTTATGTATTTCTTATCTTGATTTTAGTATGTTCATTTTGTATCCTAGTAATTTTTATGTACTACCTGCAAAGGCATATGGCTAATGCAAATAAAGAATACTACTACTATTTTAAATTAGTTAAATGCTTCCTATCCCTTCATTTTAGTTTTCCTTTTGCCCTAAGGAAGGTATTGGGAGCCTCAGGATGGTGGGGAGCCTTTAAACGCCAAAAATCACTTCTGGATCACTGCTGCTGGGGTCAGGACTACCAGCAATGATTTTTGGCAATTAAATGTTCTAAAGGTGGACAGCTTGATGAAAGTGTCAACCCAATGTGTGGCAGCAGTGAAGAAGGCCAATTCCATGTTAGGTATCATTAAAAGGGGGATTGAAAATAAAACAGCCAACATTATAATGCCATTGTACAAAATGCTGGTAAGGCTGCACCTGGAGTATTGCACACAGTTCTGGTCGTCACACCACATTGACACAAACAAAATTATGCAAGGGATGGATAAAATGGATAAAGAGAAGCACTTTTTCCTCCCATGCAATACCAGAACCAGGGGACATCCACTCAAAGTGAGTTGTAGGGAGAGTGAGAACAGACAAAAGAAAATATTTCTTTACCCAGTGTGTTGTTAGTCTGTGGAACTCCTTGCCACAGGATGTGGTGAAGGCATCTGGCCTAGTTGCCTTTAAAAGGGATTTGGGCAGATTCCTGGAGGAAAAGTCCACTGTAGGTTACAAGCTATGGCAGGGATGTATAACCTCCAGGCTTAAGAGGAAGGTACTTAAAATGCCAGATGCAGGGGAGGGGTATTGGGAGATAGGTATATAGTTGTCTTGTGTGCTCCCAGAGGCATCTTTTGGGACCACTGTGAGATACATGAAGCTGGACAGGATTGACCCTTGACCTGATCCAGCTGGGCCCTTCTTATGTTACCCTCCCCATCCAGAGGTTTCCAAAGGTTCCAACAGCCTTAGGGAGGACTGGAATCTAAAACAGGGTGAGGGGAATAGGATACACTTAATTTAAATGAATGTGTTTCCATTGCATAAAATTATGTGAACAAGATATTGGTCAATGGCTTTAGGGCTAGCACCCTTCTTATGTTACCCTCCCCATCCAGAGATTTCCAAAGGTTCCAACAACCTTAGGGAGGGCTGGAATCTAAAACAGAGTGAGGAGAATAGGATACACTTACCGTAATTTAAATGAATGTGTTTACATTGCATACAATTATGTGAACAAGATATTGGTCAATGACTTTAGGGCTAGCCTTTACCTTCTGACACCTGATTCTTCTTCTATATGCATTATCCTTGCAGTGGCTCTCTGAACTGCCTACAAGTGGGAAGATTCAAGCCACTGATACAGCTTTCTCTGTGGAGACAGCTTTCATTTTCAAAAACTCATTTAAAAAGCTAGCAAGATGATCACGTTCAAACCGTGAATGATCATGTTGATTCTGAAGATTCTGTTCAGTAAAATAGATGAGAACGATGGCTTCTACCAAATATTTGTGTGATTCGCACAATGCATGCGTTTTCCCCCCCTACCCATTGCAAAATTTGTAGAAACTAGTTTTTTGGCTTGCCAGATTTTCATTCTCCATCAGTAAAGATCCTTCTTCTATGAATCCGAATCCCATAAAATTGTTCACTGCTTCCCAGCGCCAAGCCACTGCGTACCTGGTTGGAAAACTGGGTTTCAACTATTGCCAGGTACTGTTATGCCACAAAACTTTAATTTTAATTTGTTTGTTTTTAATTAATTGGGTTTTTAATATTTTTAACACCTACTTGGGTCTCTACCATGTATACACATAGATAAAATCTTTCCCACAAGTTCAAGCTTCTGTTAAAAGAGGTTTCGGACTCTATAGGATGCAAGTAGAACAGGAGGCCCAGGGAATTCCAGGTCTCTGTTCCTGTTTATTTCTCCTACTCCTACATTCAGCACCATGTTCTCCCACATTAGAATCTGTGAGGAAAGGCATGTAAATTAATCCCTGAAAATTATAACGATGGATGCAGAATACAGGGATGATTCAATTGTATGTATCAGATTGTTGCTCTTAAGATGCCATTATACTTTTTTTGGTTTATTTTGTTGTCTTGTTGCTGAAACACACCAACATGGTTACCTTTTTGAAAACTTATTTGTCCCGTTTCTCATCTTTTACACCATACATCAAGATGCTATTTCTTTTAGATGAATCGTTGCAAGCAAAACTAAAGTGTTTTTTTTTTCACATTAGCTCTTTTGCCATAAGCAGGGTAAAAGAAGAAGCCAACTTGAAATGGATTAGTAAGCCATTCCTTTACAAAGCAGTCTGAAAAACTAAATTGTCAAGAAGTGGCCTAGCCTTATTTATTGTCTTAAAGATACTATACACCATTCTGCGTGGTAGAACTTGAAAAAAAATATCTAATGTTTCAGATATACTGGAAGCTAGAAGCTGATGAAAAAAAGGCACCTGTCATCGCCCTCAGAATCTAAGGTAAACCAGTAAGTAAAGGAAACGGTTTTGAAAAGCTCTAAAACAACATACCTTGGCACAGTTTACTGCAGGATTGCCAGGGGCCATAGATATTCCAATAAAACTGCTGAGGTTTATCTTCAATGGGGATATTGAATGTGTATCGAACATCAGGGTTATATAAATTACCCACAGATAGAATCTGAGAGGGAGAGATACCAAAAAGGCACAAAATGAACAGAAGAGCTGGGTTATTTCACAACAGCGCCTCCTTCGAACAGAGAAACAGTGTTAGTAAAGGGTTCTTTTAAAAATTAGATTTATTTTATTTTTGTTGTGCCTGTCATTTATCACTTTTTCACTGCCAAGAAGTGCTCAAGACATCTAATACTAAAATAAAAAAATTAAAACAAAACTGTGATAAAAACAGAGTCCAAATGCCAATCAGCTAAAACAACAATTAAAGAGCAATTAGCCCCTCATCAACGACACTGACCAACACACATGCCATAAGGCCTGCGGGAAGAAAGATGTCTAACCTGCAGAACTATTTCTTGATCAATACGGTATGTAGAATTGATTCGTTCAACAGGAGCATCTGAGCCGCTGTATTCTATTACAGCATTTCCAACTCTGATTTCCTTCTTAAACATGCTGACAACATAGTCTCCATTTAATATGAAGCCTTCATTGCTTGACAATGCTAAAACAAAAACAAACACAATTCATTATTTATTTATTTAAAATATTTTTGTTTTACCTTTCTCCTTAAAAAGGACCCAAGGAGGCTTACATCATTAAGCCAACAACAATAAGCCAGTGGGTGGCACTGCCGGTTAATCCGCTGAACCACTAGGCTGTCGATCAAAAGGTTGGCAGTTCGAAACCGAGTGATGAAGTGAGCTCCCGTAGCTTGTCCGAGCTCCTGCCAACCTAGCAGTTTCAAAAGCATGCAAATACAAGTAAACAAATAGGTACCACCTCGGTGGGAAGATAATGGTGTTCTGTGTCTAGTCATGCCGGCAACATGACCACAGAAAATGTCTATGGACAAAGACTGGCTCTTTGGCTTACAAATTAAGATGAGTGCCGGCCCCTAGAGTTGGATATGACGGGACTTAATTGTCAAGGGGAACCTTTACCTTTACCTTCCATGCATATAGCCGGCATAGATCAGGAATATCATTGCAAATGCATTTAATATCAGACCTAATATCAAATTAATTCATGTCTTAATTTTTATTTGTTGAAGGAAGCTAAGCCCTGTTCAGACCTTGACTACAGTATATCACAGTTGGGATAAGGGTTTGTTCCACAGGCAAGGAGACACCGCCGAGAAGGCCCGGTTTCTTGTTTTTCCTTCCGGGCCTCCCTCGGCATCAGGCTCCTCAGCCTCACCTCCTGGCTCGCACGAGCAACATGGATAAAGCTTGGTGGGAGTAGATGTTCCGCCAAATATCGAGGCCCTAAACCGTTTAGGGCTTTATACGTAAGCATTAAGACTTTGAAGTCAATGCGGAACCTGATGGGCAGCCAATGCAGTGCGGCCAGAATAGGAGAAATATGGTGGTATTTTCTCGCTCTGCTAAGGAGTCTGACCACCACATTCTGCACCACCTGGAGCTTCCATGTCAACTTCAAAGGTAGCCCCACTGCTTTCCCACGCTGTTGCATCCTTCTCTATCTATACATGGTAAAGTCAACCCAATTTGAATCTGAGGGATGGTTGTCCAGTTTTCTCCCAAATACTTCCAGTGTTGGAGCACTCACACCTCCCAAGGTAATTAGTGCCATTGTCATACTGGTCTAACAGTGAAGAATTTATTTATTTATTGAATTCATACCCCGCCCATCTAGTCGACTGACTACTCTGGGCAGCTAACAACATATAGTGTAAACAATTTAAAATATAGAAACAAAGTAACATATTAATAGACAGTGCTCAAGATGGAAAAAGGTAAATCAAGTGGTGGCTGGAGGGAAGGCTTGCCTAAACAACCAGGTTTTCAATTGGTCTTTGAAAATACCCAGTGAAGGGGCCATACGGATCTCAGAAGGGAGGTTATTCCAAAGGAGAGGAGCCACGGCTGAGAAGGCCCTGTTTCTTGTTTTTTTCCTTCCGGGCCTCCCTTGGCGTTAGGCTACTCAACCTCACCTCCTGGCTAGATCGAGTGATACAAGTAGATTTAAGTGGGAGAAGGCGTTCCACCAGATATCGAGGCCCTAAACCGTTTAGGGCTTTATACGTAAGCATTAAGACTTTGAAGTCAATGCGGAACCTGATGGGCAGCCAATGCAGTGCGGCCAGAATAGGAGAAATATGGTGGTATTTTCTCGCTCTGCTAAGGAGTCTGACCACCGCATTCTGCACCACCTGGAGCTTCCGTGTCAACTTCAAAGGTAGCCCCACTGCTTTCCCACGCTGTTGCATCCTTCTCTATCTATACATGGTAAAGTCAACCCAATTTGAATCTGAGGGATGGTTGTCCAGTTTTCTCCCAAATACTTCCAGTGTTGGAGCACTCACACCTCCCAAGGTAATTAGTGCCATTGTCATACTGGTCTAACAGTGAAGAATTTATTTATTTATTGAATTCATACCCCGCCCATCTAGTCGACTGACTACTCTGGGCAGCTAACAACATATAGTGTAAACAATTTAAAATATAGAAACAAAGTAACATATTAATAGACAGTGCTCAAGATGGAAAAAGGTAAATCAAGTGGTGGCTGGAGGGAAGGCTTGCCTAAACAACCAGGTTTTCAATTGGTCTTTGAAAATACCCAGTGAAGGGGCCATATGGATCTCAGAAGGGAGGTTATTCCAAAGGAGAGGAGCCACGGCTGAGAAGGCCCTGTTTCTTGTTTTTTTCCTTCCGGGCCTCCCTTGGCGTTAGGCTCCTCAACCTCACCTCCTGGCTAGATCGAGTGATACAAGTAGATTTAAGTGGGAGAAGGCGTTCCACCAGATATCGAGGCCCTAAACCGTTTAGGGCTTTATACGTAAGCGTTAGAACTTTGAAATCAATGCGGAACCAAATGTCTGGTGTCACAGGCTGAAAATGATCAAAACTCACCAGGCAAGGTGGAGCACTGGACATCTCTGCTTGATGCACTGTCACCAAAAAAGAAGAAAGTTCCTGGCGGATGGCCTCCACTTTAGATTTTTAAAATGCTGCAAATTGGTCAGGTGAGATGCTAGAAGGAGGCCCTTCACCCCGACCTATTCCGGATAGGTCGCAACCTATATGGACAATTTCCACCTGCTGATCTGAAGCCTTGCTTATGCGGTTTCCACCTGCTGATTTGAAGCCTTGCTTATGCGGGCAGCGAGGTGAGCTCTAGAAGCCCTTATCTTAGCCAGATAATGGTTAGTTGTGACCCTGACAGTTTCTCTATTATAATCCTTCGGTTTCTTTCTACACTTGCTCTCTACCCTTCTCCTAGTTTGCTTCATCACTCGTAGTTCCTGGTTAAACCAGGCCGCTGACCGAGATCTGCATTGGGTAGGGCGTTTAGGAGCAATCATGTCAACAGCCGTAGTGGCGGCCATGACCCAACCATCCACCAGAGCCTCGATAGGAGCACCAGCCAGATCTGCTGGAATGCCTCTCATGGTATCCTGGAATCCTGTAAGATCCAGTAGCCCTCGAGGGCAGACCATTACAATAGATCCTTGCTCCCTGCAAGGTGGGAGGGCCAGTAAGAGGTTACATTTTATTAGGTGGTGATCCGACCATGAGAAGGGGACAGACACAAGGTCTGTCACCATCAGATCACGCTCACTCCAGTTGGTGGAAAAAAACAGGTCTAGCATATGACCACCCACATGGGTGGGGCCGTTAATATGTTGGGACATGTTCAAGGAAGCCATGGGTTCCAAGAACCAAGAATCCCCCCCCGATATTCAGTCTAAATCTCGCTTCCTATAGCTTGAGTCCATTATTATGTGCCCTGCATGTAATAATGACTGAAAACAAAGCCTGCCCCTAATCTGTATGATAGCCTTTCAAGTAATTGAAAAGTGCTATCATATCTCCCTTCAGTCTTCTTTTCTGAAGGCTAAACATGCTCAGTTCTTTCAGTCTTTCCTCACAGAGCTTGGCTTCCAGTCCCCTGATCATCCTTGCTGCCCTGCTCTTAGCTTGCTCCAGCTTGTTGGCATCCTTCTTAAAGTGTGGTGTCCAGAATTGGATATGGTAGTCAAAGTGAGACCTAAACAGGGCTAAAAACACACACAGGTGTGTTCCCACTTCCCCATCCATCCCCACATATTCATATTATGGAAACGTAACCAGCCCCTAGCCCTGCAGATGGACAAAAACACATCTACTTCCAGCTCCATTTAGGCATAAATCAAGTGTGAAAATCCGTAGACCAACCTTCCAAATGGACATTTGGAAGGTGTTTGGCCAGCATCTTATTTTGCATCTTGATTCATGCCAGAGTTGAGCTATGCATAAATATGCCAAAGGCTTAAAGCTCTAAAAGCTTTCTTAAATGGGATGGTTTCCTGAAAACAGCAGTCTGCTGCACAACTTCACACTAATGCGATTATGTAGTTAATTTCCCAAGTTAGTTTCCCCACCATTTCACCCATCACAGCTACTATATTGTCGTAAAAGAGTGCTCAGCATAGAAGAGAAGGCGTTCTTTGAATGGGGGCTGAAAGAGATAAGGAACGATTACACTGTGAAGCAGACAAGCAAGAGAAACTTCCCTGGCATTCAAAATCCTGCCGCTGTCATTTCCCATGCACGGCTGGTTTTGGTTTCTAATGATGCCAAATAACACCAAGACACATGGACAAGTTAAGTCCCTTTTTCTCTTGTGGGAGAGTGAAGTAGCAAAACAAAAGGCTGAGACATTCCAAACTTAAAGGTACAACCAAATTCCTACTCAAGTATGAGGCATACTTTTAACATACTGAAAAAGAATTACCAATTCTCAGCAGTTTTTTGCAGGCCAGATACAACAAAAAATATGAAACAGGATGAAATTCCTAGTTTTTGCCCATGTGATGAAGGGGTGAACAAACCGAGTCTCCAGACATTGCTGGACTGCATTTCTAAACAACCCTTACAACTGACCATGCTGATTGGTACAGATGAGAATTATAATTTCACAATACAGTGGTGCCTCGCTTAACAAGCACCCTGTTTAATGACGAAACCACTTAGCAATGAAGAATTTGCGATCAAAAAAGCGATCACATTGCAATGTTTTAAATAGGAAAAAATCTCTTTGCGATGATCGGTAAGCTGTTTCGTTTACCGATTATCACATAGCGATCTTTTTCCTACAGCTGATCGGCGGTTCCAAAATGGCCACCAGAAAAAACATTCCTCACATACTGGGCAGCGAATGGATTTTCGCTTAAAGGTGAGTTTTTTGCCCATAGGAATGCATTGAAGGGGTTTCAATGCATTCCTAAGGGCTTTTAAAAATTGCTTAGTGATGTTTTCGGTTAGCGGTGATTTTTGCTGCACCAATTAACATCGCTAAGCGAGGCACCACTGTATCTGGAGGCCCACAAATCATCCTCCCTGTTGGGCCCTACAGGCAAATGGCTACTCCAAAAATGAAATCACAAGAGCCATCAAACCAAGAAAACACCGAACTGAAGAAGAAAAACAGCCACCCACAAATAAAGTATTTCTGCCACACATCAAAGGGGTCACGGACTGCATGGGGAAACTTTTGAAAAAACACAACATACAAACAGTATTCAAGCCCACCACAAAAATACAACAAATGTTACGGTCAGCAAAGGACAGAAGGGACCCCCTCACCACTGCAGGAGTATACCAGATACCTTGCAGTTGTGGCCAGGTATATATTGGAACCACAAAACGAAGCATCCACGCCAGAATCAAAGAACATGAGAGACACTGCAGACTAAAACAACCAGAGAAATGTGCAGTAGCTGAACATGCCCTAAAACAAACTGGACATGAAATTCTATTTCAAAATACCGAAATACTGGACAACATCAACAATCATTATGTCAGACTGCACAGAGAAGCCATTGAAATCCACAAGCACCAGCAGAACTTAAACAAAAAAGAGGAAAGTTTGAAACTCAACAAAACTTGGCTCCCAGCTCTCAAAAATACAGCATGTAAAAGGTCAACGAACTCTACCCAGCCACAAGGACTGGGGATCACTACACACATCAACCACATTGACAGATGTCTCCTTATCACAACAACATACCCACAACAAGACACTCTAACCACCCATCTGCAGAAAAAGACAAAATCCCATCTCACAGCCATAAATACTCCACTCCCAAGCCAACTACACCAGAGCACAGAGTGCTGTCCTCTGAAGATGGCGGCCACAGAGACTGGCGAAACGTTAGGAATAACAACCTTCAGAACATGGCCAAAGAGACTGAAAAACCCACAACAACCTTTAGATCCCAGCCATGAAAGCCTTCGCGAATACTTTGCTTGTACTGCTATGTTCCTTTCCCCACCCCACCCCAATTGGGAGGTAAGGGATTTGGTATCGAGCACTAGTATTTTCTTGCCATTTCAACTAGAGATGCCCAATGTTATATTTGTATAGGCATGAGAATATATACCCTACCAACTGATCTTCACAGACTGCATTTATGGAGTCTAGAGGAAGAGAATGCAATTATACATCAGTGCAGAAAAATGCTCTGTGATTTGTCAGAAGAAAATATTTCTGATTAAGAATCCTCCAGCCTTCATTGACCGATCGTTGTGGAGGCTTGTTGTTGCACTTGAGTATTGCCCCTGGATCTATGTCATCGAACTGGAATAAAGATATCATTCTTAAACTTTCCATTTCTGTCTCACAATCCATGGTGTTTGGAGGGTGAGTTAACAGCATTAGCACTGCTGGTGATGCAGGTGAAATAAAGTAAGAGAGGTTTCTAAGTCTTGTCTAAGGCATCTGGAAACTGCTGGGTTTGGAAAGCCATTTTTTTTTCTTTTTGATGAACTAAACGACAAAATGCCATCAGGAGAATGGTGCCCTTTGCAGAAACATTTGAGATTTTCCCTCCGGTTTCCTTAAAAAGGAAGAACTTAACACTGAATTTAATCTTTTACTTACTTAATTACAACACTTACCCATGAGTTAATTTATACAGAATCAAGTTTTTGTGTCCTTTCACTAAATTTTCTAAGCTCTGACAGGCATCTTAGTGCATTTCATTAAATGCTTCTGTATGTATCTGTCTGGATGCACATTTCCCTCATTTCTTTACCCTAGACCTTGAACGAGAGTCAAATTACACATTACATGCCAAAATAGGTGATTTTAAAGCTGTAATCCTAGGAAGCTGGAATGTAATCCTTCCCTCCCCAACTGTGATCTGACAAAGATCCACCTTACAGGACTATAAGACTAATTGCAATTTTTGGTAGAGTGACAAGTGAGGAGGGAATTCTCCTCCTCATGTGCTGTGGTTCCATTGATATTCACCCCCCCTCACCCACCAAATGGGATTAAATTCATAAAAAACACTTGATATGGCTAGTAACCATGCAATTAATGCAACATGAAAGGTTAATATGTTATTAGTGCTTTTAATATGGGAGCATTTTGATTCTGCATCGTACAAAGCAAACTGGTACCAGGTGACTTTTAGAGTCTTTTGCAATTATTTACAGTGATGTAAATAATTGTCAATCGAATAAGGTACATGGATTTGTATGGGGAAAAGCGCCATACTTACCAAGATAGTTATCATCTTCTGGTTTCCCTGAGTAACTATGCTGCCGTACATCAATATTTGTAGCACCAGCTGGTATGCGTATCACAGTGTTATAACCTGGAAAAATAAATTAGGAAGTGAAGTATGTCCCCCACTAGTATTCTTTTTTGGATTTTTCTAATGATCACAGGGAACAAAAAATGAATACAGTAAATTCTAAGTTACAAAAATTAAATTAGTTAATCAACTTGCAAGAAACTCAGATATTCATTAGCTAAAGGGAATACTTGTTCACACTGCTTCTAAGAAAACTAGGTAAGGTTAACAGGTTTTCTACCCCAGTACTTTTCTCTAGTAAAATAGACAATTCTTACCATAGTGCACCGTATTGAAGGTCCCTGCAACAGTTTTGCATGATGAATTATCGCCACCACACACACCACATTTATCTCTTCTGGCTTTGGAATTGAGCACATGATCACATCCAGCTTGCTTTAAAGAAAGAGAAGTTCAGAACTAGATTGAACAAATATGAAAATAGGGTAGAAATTACAATGCTCCAAATGAAAAACGTACATATGCCACATCTGCCACTCCAGCAGCCTCATTCATTCTTTTATTCTCTCCAATATCCTCTCCTGAGCTATAATTGCAACCATCTTCCAACTGGAACTTGGAAGTGAAAAATGGGTGTCTTCCAAGCCTGCTTTGGAAGTACAAAGCTACTCAGCACCAGGCAAGACGGAGGAAGCTGCAAGAGCTGCAGACCAGCCTGTGACATGGCTATGCTGCATGGATGAAACCAAGGGCAGCATGAAAAAATGGACATATCCATGTCCATTTCAGTTAAGCTGTGCTAAAACTGACAGCCAAGTACACTGAGCTACAGATGCTCTCTGTATAACCATCTGCATTTAGGGTGACCATCTTCCACCTGAATAAGGCCACTATTAGAGGTCCTGTCCCTCCCTACTTCCATCTCAAAGTCTGGTGAATGGATTTTCTGAAAGACTCAACCTGCAGCAGATACCAGTGCTGAAGAAGATATGTGGCCTAAGACCAAAATCAGCTGCTGGACAACACAAAACTCTCAAATTTATTTATCCAGATTGTTTCTTATCCTGTAATTTAAGTGTATTTTCAGACATTTAAGAAATCCCTCATGTGATATATCTCTCTTACAGTTATTCATGGGACGTGGTGGCACTGTGGGCTAAACCGCAGAAGCCTGTGCTGCAGGATCAGAAGACCAGCAGTCATAAGATCGAATCCACGCAACGGAGTGAGCTCCCATCGCTTTGTCCCAGCTCCTCGCCAACCTAGCAGTTCAAAAGCATGCTAATGCGATTAGATAAATAGGTACCACCTTGGTGGGAAGGTAAAACGGCGTTCCCTAGTCACGCTGGCCACGTGGCAACAGAAATTGTCTTCGGACAAGCGCTGGCTCTATGGCTTGAAAACGGCATGAGCACCGCCCCCCAGAGTCAGACACGACTGGACTAAAAATGTCAAGGGGAACCTTTACCTTTTACAGTTATTCTATTGCCATAAGCTATCTCATGGGTCTTTTATACGGAAACATAAGCTGTATATGGACCATATACACATAGAGAAGTGCATTTTGAGACACTCTCTATGGCAAGAAAATATACGGATGGTCCAACTGATTTCTCAAAGGCCAGCACAAGAAACCAGCAGCGCAAAGTACACTGCAATGCTTGTTTCTTTTACTCCGTCTCTGCCACCTTCAGAGACATCTTGCAGGAAATAGAAAGCTGCCCTGTACCAAGACATCTGCCATTGCTCCATCTAGCTTAGTACTATCTACTAGCCCACCAGAATCCTAGACAGCAGTCTTTCCCAGTCCTATCTGAAGATGCTGGAGACTCAGCACAAGGCCTTTGGAGTGTAAAACATATTGAAAACATATTGGAGTGTAAAACATATTGAAAGATAGTTGCAGAAGAGGTTGCACCTATCTTTCATTAAAACTGCCAAAGGAGTTTTGTTTGGTCCAAATTGGAATTGGTTTGGGACTCTGAAATAGCCATGCTCTATGATAGTAGGTTCCTAACCTCTGTTAGTCCATATGTATTCGTGGACTAAAACTCCTAGAAGCCTTCACCACTAGCTGCACTGGGTAGGATTTCTGGGTTTTATAGTTCAAGAACATCAGGGAACACAAGGTTGGGTGCCAGTGCTCTATAACCTAAAACAGGAGCATGAAATGTGTAATTGAGGGGCCCAACGCCGAGGGAGGCCCAGAAGAAAAGAACGAGGAACCGGGCCTTCTTGGCAGTGGCCCCTCGCCTCTGGAACAACTTACCCATAGAGATCCACCTGGCTCCCTCTCTGGGTGTCTTTAGAAGTAAGTTTAAGACATGGCTATTTAGGCAGGCTTTCCCTCTTGCTGTATTTTAATATCTACATTTTTACATCTTGGATTTTTAAATTATGTAATGAGTAGATTAGATGAGTAGTCTACTCGCCCAGAGTAGACTGTCTGTCTAGATGGGCAGGGTATAAATCTAATAAAATAAATAAATAAAACAAATAACCCTCAAATACTGCTGGACTACAACTCAGGCACCCTGGACAAGACTAATGGGAACTAGAATCTGGCAACATCTGGAGAGCCACAGGCTCCCCATCCCTTCCCTCTTTACATGACACTATGTGAGGAATAAGCTCCTCTTTTCATGACTTGGGATTTGAACAAAGCATGGGGGGAAAAATTATGGCAAACAAGGGGCGATACAAAACAGATGCCAGAAAGGCAGCAACAATAGTGTTACCAGATGGAAAAAATGCAGAAACTAGCTTCAAGAGGGTTAAGCGGGTTACACAAAAGAAAGCAATATTTACCCGACAAAGTCCTTGTACACAGATGTCGTTTGTGTCGGGGCCACAAGGGGTGCCATCAATAACCCTGTCCCTGAGCTGATAATAGGCCGTGTTTCCCGCCACTCTGCAGAAGAGCTTGCACCTATCTTTCATTAAAACTGCCAAAGCAAAAGAAGCAGGTTATTTCATTGCTAGCCTTTCACTGCATATGGTATGTGAGAACTGCCCTATCATTTGAATCCATATCTAAGTTTGTATCCCTCTCCACACAGATATATGCCCTAAGGAAGGAATTATTTGCACTTCCATGAATCCCTTTGCCTATTAGTGTAGGGGACTCCGAAAAGTTGCTATGAAAGAAGAGAGCAGGAGTTCTAGACCTATATCTGTGGCAGTAGAATGGGCAGTGGTGGGGGAGGTTTCTAGGAGAGTGACAGAAACAAAAGCAGTGTGGTAGAAGTGGGCAAGAAGGCAATGGAGACTGTTTGAGGATGGAGACTTTCAAGGCCGGAAAAGTCACTACAAGATGACTTAACTCTTTAGACCAAGGGTTTTAAACTCAATTTACCTGGGGGCCGCTAGAGGCAGAGTCTGGGTGAGGCTGGGCCGCATCAGATTTTCCGCCAAGCGGAGCAAGAGCCTGAGGAGTTTCCTTAGCCGACAGACAGGTGGGCTGACTGGCAGGCTGCAGTTCTGGATGGAGGGTGCAAGAGGTGCTGTCTTGGGAGAGAGCCGGCAAGGCTTTTTTTAAACTCTTGACAGCAGAGGATGTGTGGGCGCTTTGGGGGGGCAGGCAAGGCGAGGGCCACAAACTATCATCTGGGGGGCTGCAAATGACCCCCGGGCCGCATGTTTGAGACCCCTGCTCTAGACGGTTCTTCTGCAATACTGCAGTTACCACCACATCCTGAAAATCTCCTGCCTGCATTGTTTGATGGATTTTTTTCCATAGCATGTTACTTTCTTTTTAAATCAACTGATGGAGCTTTTTCTTGTCAACCAATATGAATGTTGAGAAAGAAATTACCTCATGGCAGCTCTTTCATCTTAAAAGCAGTAGAGTCAGACCTGGGGTTGTCCTTAAGTCTGGGAGGAAGTAAAGCAAAAAGCTGATGACTGGAAAGTCAGTGAGAACTACCCTTGGCCAGGATACTTACTTCCACTATATTTAGGAACCCAGCGCACATTAGGAGGTAGACCGTTAATGTTAAAATGTTTCCCATCAAAGACAGCACACTGTTCGTCCCGGAAATCTTTCTTTTGCTTGGAACAAGGTTCAGTGTTGCATGATTTAAATTTCATTCTGCGGCCCACACAATATTTCCCGCCATTTTTTGGTCTAAAAAAATTGAAATGAGAAAATAGATACATTTACACATCAAAACATACGAGGGATGCCCCAGATCCATTCTGTCGGTTTTAGAAGCCATGACTCCTTCTGTTAGTATCTCATTTCATTCCAATATGCCCACCTCTGCCACAGTCTGAATTAGCTATCCCAAGCCACATTCAACCATAATGACAGCTTTCTCAAAAAGCCATAAAGCTCTTCCCAAATCACCCTTCCAGTATACCAGAATGTAGGTTGCTACTTGTTCTAAATCAAGAGCTAGTTCTTTCAGAAAAATGGAACAAATTGAAAAGGCTGGATGAAAATAAAAAATAGAACAGAACAAAAAAGAGGATGCTAGAAATCCTGTTACATTAAGACCCAGTTCAGGTCTTATTGTTTTGGGTGGCTGATTATTTATTTATTTATTTATTTATTTATTGGATTTATATACCGCCCCATAGCGCTACAAGCACTCTCCGGGCGGTTTACAATTTTAATTATAAAGGCTACACATTGCCCCCCCAGCAAGCTGGGTATTATGCCAGCACAACATTATGAGTTATGCCAGCACGTCAGGATTTTATCCATGTTGTCTTTAATCTAACTTCTACAGGTCTTATTGTTTTGGGTGGCTGATTATGCCAACATTATGAGTCCTTAATCTAACTTCTAATTTGGCCCTCTCATATTCTTGTAGCATGTCCCCCCTCCCCCCTTGTGTTTTCCATATTTTTGTGTTTTCATTTCTCAAAGTGATGTTTTAAAAACTTTTCTATACTTATTGATCTTTGCCTCAATAATTCTGCTAACTATGTAAGATGCCTTCTTATTAATTGTTCATAGTTTTAAATATCGTCTTTTAATGATGGTAACCACCATTGTGTATTCATTGTTTTCAACTTTAAATATTGTCTTTCATTTTTGGAAGCTGCTTTGGGTCCATTTCAAGGAGAAAGGTGGGGTTAAAAATATTTCAGCCAACCAACCAACCAACCAATTTTTCCTAGATCATATATTTTCTTTATAAAAAACAACAACCCTGTAGAATATATTTAGGTCAAAAGCTAACTCTATAACTGTATCCCCCCCGCTTACTGTGAAAAATCAGAATGACACATTTGTTTTAAAAAAGATTTTGGCTACAATCTATTACCCATTCACTTCTATAACTGATTTTCAAGCAATGGTCCTCTTAAGAAGTTTTTTTTTCTTTAATGGCATGGGTTGTTTTTATTTTTTTAAAAATTTGAAACAAAAAATATAGGATATTGTAATCCACGTGAAGCTACTCCTAAAGGTTCTTATAAGCATTTATGAAGGCAGTACCATCTTTCCCTGTAGTTTCTGATGCCAGAGGCCGCACTCTGCAGATATGGAACTGTCACAAACAGCAGGATGTTGTGTGTTGCTGCCAAACTATCTTTCATCAGCTTCACACTTCTGTAAGAAAACTTCCTTTCAATCAGGATGTGTGGGTTACACTACCATCCCTAACAGATTTTTTCCCCACCTAGCTTTCAGCCACTGTAACAAATATTGCAAGACCATTACATTCCTCAAGGTTTAATAATGCCTTTCTAGAAACATGTAGAAACATATGCTTTTCCAGTGTTTTCTTAAGCTTAGGGCCTGGTCAACAATTTCTTTAAGTAGAACAGGGGCAATTTTGAGGAGGGAATGGGAGGGTGATCTTGTAAAGAACACAGAAAGAGATACGTCAGCCTCTATGTGGACAGGGTCTGCAGGAAGGGGCAGCATGACTACTCCTCTTGGATCCACCCCAATATCATGTATCCTGCTCTCAATAAACATGTCTTGAATACAGAGAGCTACAAAGAGATGCAACATAGTATTCTGTTGAACACACATCGATTTTCTATCAGAGCTCCTGGATGTTTCAGGTAAACATAAATAGATACCTCTTAGAACACAATGGTGCCTGATGTGTGGACTATGGTTGAGGAAAGTATTTATATACTTATTATGCCTCCCTTCCTTTCAACTGTTTAGAAATCCTGCTGTGGTTCATGTTAATGCAAATTGGCAGCCTGTTGTTGTAAGTAATGTTCCTATGTCATTTTGTGGGAGCAGATCTCTGAAGATCTTAACCCTTGGGTAAGTAAATGTGGGAGAAGATGGTCTTCCAGGGTAAGTAATAGTGACTGGCGCTGACGTTACTGACATTTAGGCGCCGGGTTAAAAACCTTCCTGTTCCAGACGTTTTTCAATTGGAGTTTTTAATCGAAGGTTATAATTTTAATTGATAGAGTCATGGATCTAGATTTTTGTTGTAGATTGCTTTTGTTTTTGCTCTTGTTTTCATTTTTGCTTTTGTAGAGTAGATGTAACCATATTAGTTTTTAGTGTGTCTGTTTTTTTAACTGAACTGTTTTCATTGATGTTGGAAGCCACCCGGAGACTCTTGCAGAGGGCGGGCGGCATAAAAATCGAAAGGAATAAATAAATAAATAAATAAATAAATAAATAAATAAATAAATACATACATACATACATACATACATACATACATACATACATACATACATAAAGAAGCTAGACTTAATTGTGGAACTCAAAATACAGCCATGTCTCCCCTGTCCTGGCCCATTTGCACTGCTTGCTGGTATGCTTCTGGACCAAGTTCAAGGTGTCCGTGTTGAGCTACAAAGCCCTGAATGGTTTGGGACCTCACTACCTTGCAGAGCGTCTCTCCCTCAAACCTACCTCCCATCCTATCTGCACCTCCCAGTTTCTGATATTGCAGGTCACCATCCCAAGGGAGGTCTAGAAACCTACAACTCGGAACCGGACTTTCTCAATGATGACCATCTCATTATGGAATTTATTACCAATGGAAGTGTGTCTGACCCCCACCCTCCTAAGCATTCATTCAGAAGACAAATAAAAGCATGTTTTTTTAAGCCATGCCTTTGACAACCTTCTTCCTTTTTAATTGCTTATTTATTTCATAGTCTGATTTTTTTTTTACTGTTTAAAATTGATTCTGTAGTTATTGCTATCGTGGGATTTGATTTGCATATTTGTGACATAAGGGGCTACAAGGGTAGGGTATTTCATTTTTTATTTATTTTATTTTATGTACTCTTTTGATGTAAGCCATCCAGACTAGTAGCCTGCCACTAGATGGGTGCGGTGTAAGTTTAATCAGTCAATCAATCAGTCAATCAGTGTTTGCATATGTGTAATCTGGTCAAGTGCTGGAAGCATTTAAACTAATTTAAACTAATTAAAAACCTTGACAGCATCTTAAAAAGCAGAGACATCACCTTGCCGACAAAAGTCTGAATAGTCAAAGCTATGGTTTTTCCTGTAGTGATGTATGGAAGTGAGAGCTGGACCATAAAGAAAGCAGACCGCCGAAGAATTGATGCCTTTGAATTGTGGTGCTGGAGGAGGCTCTTGAGAGTCCCCTGGACTGCAAGGAGAACAAACCTATCCATTCTAAAGGAAATCAACCCTGAGTGCTCACTGGAAGGACAGATCCTGAAGCGGAGGCTCCAGTACTTTGGCCATCTCATGAGAAGAGAAGACTCCCTGGAAAAGCCCCTGATGTTGGGAAAGTGTGAAGGCAAGAGGAGAAGGGGACGACAGAGGACGTGATGGATGGACAGTGTCATCAAAGCTACCAACACGAATTTGACCAAACTCCAGGAGGCAGTGGAAGACAGGAGGGCCTGGCGTGCTCTGGTCCATGGGGTCACGAAGAGTCGGACACGACTAAACGACGACAACAATGACGAATTAAAAGCTTCCTCTCCTCTACCAAATTGCTGGATTGCTGACAGTGGCTAGTATTTTTACTGTTAAAGCCATCCTACACACCCCAAGGCTCCCAAAGGCTTGCCAGGACAAAGAGGAGTCCTAGGGAGCCCTGGAACCTCAGAGTAGCTCTTAATTACATTAACTTAATTCTTTTGGGTGGCTGATTATGCCAGCACAACGTTATGGGTTATGCCAGCACGTTATGCATCAGAATTTTACCCATGTCGTCGTTAATCTAACTTCTAATTTGGCCCTCTCATATTCTTGCATCATGTTCCCCCTCCCCTTGCTGACATTTGCTTAGTCTCAAACCTTTCTTTCAACAAGCGGATATCCTTCATTTTAGGAACTGTCTCTGGCTGTGAGCATCCTGCCATCCTCAATTAACACCCATGTACCACTGACTTCAAAGGGCTGGCACAAAATCTGGCAGATAGTTGCAAAGCACAGACAGTCTGCTTACAGCTACTTCCTTGGCAAACAGTCCTCTGTCAGAAGCAGCAGGGAGGAGGAGCTACTCCTCACATCACATATTCTTTTTGGCCTCCAATCTATTTCTTTAGTTGCTTTTACAACATTACATTGCAGAGCTTTGTTTCCTGTCTCCTCCACCCACTGTAAAATGAGGTCTTCCTCTCTTCAGGGCTGTACAATATAGAAAAATTATCTATAGGGATGTCTTGGCTCAGAAACGCAGAACGCAAACAGATATCAACAAAATGAATCATGAAAGAGAGCTGTAAAAATAAACTGAATTGATCTGGAACAGGTCCTTAAATCAACTTCTATAGGCACATTCTTTCTGAAGGCGCGGAACAATGTAAGAAAATACTCTTGAAATAAGACGGGGAGGAATTACATTTTAAAGACGTCTAAAATTAGGACTTAGACTTCCTTTTCATAGACTTTGTACCAAAATAAAATATGAAATTGTGAGGAATTTCACAAACTGTATGAAAGTATTTGAATTTAGTTTGCCATTGTCTTTGGAGGGTTTTTTTCCCTTTTTTCTTGTCATTTTTATGATTTGGGTGTTTTCTTTGGTGGGTGGGTAGCTGGGTCATTCGTGCGTTTATTTATTGTTAGCTGCCAAGACCAGTGGCTTGCCACTAGTTGGGTGGAATATAATTGTAATAAATAAATAAGGCTTAGTAAGAATTTCTGAATCTAAATCAGTAGATTTAATTCCAGTGTATGGCTTCTTAATATGACAGTCACTTTACATTGATTTTACCATGTTAGCCTACGTTACAGATAAGTATGTGTGTGTTTGGGTGTATGTGTATGTGTATAAATATAAATATATGTCTCAGTTTAACTGTTGGTCCCAGGTATCAATGGGAAACTTTTCCTTGTTTCAGTGAGCCTATGCTAGTAGGGCCAAGCAATGGAATATTGATGGATGGATAGATGGATGGATAAACTGATAGAAAAAATATAATTTTCCCTCACGTGACAAGAAGGAAACATGCTAAAAACAAATGTTTGGCTAACACAGTAGAGGTACTTCCAAGTAACATATACACCACAGTGAAGAGAACCAGGGTGTGAGAAGACAAATTATATGCTAACAACACTCCCTAGTTACATCATATACAGTATCTTGCCTAGTGGTTAAAACAATAGCAACAGCTTAGGAGGTTTGAAATATTTTCTACTCTCTCCAGACCCTACACAGTTCCTGTTTATCTCCTAGCAAGCTATGTTCACTATAATCTTAAAATGACATCAACCGGATAACTCTGGAGACGTTATTTGAGCTTTAATACCTTGCTGTACATGTCTGGAAAACTGCTTTTGTCTCTGTTGCAGAAATTGCAATTCTTACTGACCTCATCATCCCCAGGGCCTATTAGGTCAGTGTCAATTTTTGCTCTCTAGGCAGCTCAGAAAGGAAGCCTGTTGTTGATCGATTCCCTTGTATAACTGTCCTGTTTCCCTAAATGAATACAATGTTCCCAAATTGCTTTTAATAGCCTATTTCTTAAATTTTCAAAAGAAATATAGAACAAACCATGGCAAGAATATAAACAACTGAGCAAATAGTTGTTGTGGGTTTTACAGGCTCTTTGGCCGTGTTCTGAAGGTTGTTCTTCCTAACATTTCGCCAGTCTCTATGGCCAGCATCTTCAGAGGACAGCACTCTGTGCTCTGGTGCAGTTGGCTAGGGAGTGGAGTTATTATGGCTGTGAGATGGGCTTTTGTCTTTTTCTGTAGATGGGTGATTAGTGTGTCTTGTTGTGGGTGTATTGTTGTGATAAGAAGGAGAGATTATCTGTCACTGTGATTGTTGGGTGTCATTAGCTGGTCTTTTGTGTGTAGTGATCCCTGGTCCTTGTGGTTGGGTAGAGTTTGTTGACCTTTTTTCACCCTGTATTTTTGAGAGCTGGGAGCCAAGTTTTGTTGAGTTTCAAACCTTCCTCTTTTTTGTTGAAGTTCTGCTGGTGCTTGTGGATTTCAATGGCTTCCCTGTGCAGTCTGACCTAATGACTGCTTGTATTGCCCAGTATTTCGGTATTTTGAAATAGAATTTCATGTCCAGTTTGTTTTAGGGCATGTTCAGCTACTGCAGATTTTTCTGGTTGTTTTAATCTCCAGTGTCTCTCATGTTCTTTGATTCTGGTGTGGATGCCTCGTTTTGTGGTTTCAATATATACCTGGCGTCAACTGCAAGGTATCCGGTATACTCCGGCAGTGGTGAGGGGGTCCCTTCTGTCCTTTGCTGACCGTAACATTTGTTGTATTTTTGTGGTGGGCTTCAAACAACCATTAAATCTCGGCCATGAAAGCCTTTGCAAATACAACTGAGCAAATAGTTTTGTGTGACCAAGAAAGTTTCCAAATGACTGAGACCACTGTCTTCCCACATGACAGGCTTCTTTTGACAATTCATGATATGAGGGCCTACTTCACTCTCTTCCAGCCAGCAATTGAAGAGTCCTCATTGAGATTCTCAACCATGCACCAAGTCAAAAGGTGAACACGCTCCCAAGTATTGCAGCAGCAACTCCCAGCTGGAACTGAGTGAAGGTAATGCATTTTGTAATAAAAATTAAAAGGATTTCAGCCAGTATGGATTACTGTGCTGATTTCTGCAGCAGGCAAAGAAAAGGTGAACACGCTCCCAAGTATTGCAGCAGCAACTCCCAGCTGGAACTGAGTGAAGGTAATGCATGATTTCTGCAGCAGGCAAAGAGAAGTTGCTGAACCCATTCTTCCCTCACTGCAGTCCTAAGGGTTCATGGACTTCAAGGTTGAATGTTGGCAGTCAGCCTTCCTAGAAGCTCAGTTTCAGAATGCACAGACTCAGCTTATACAGTGGGACCTCGACTTACGAACATCCCTATCTACAAACATTTTTACTTATGAACGGCTCTGTTTGCAAAAATTGGCATCGACTTTCAAACGGAGCCTTGACCTGCGAACGAAAAAAGGCAGGGGAAAAGGGCGGGAAATTCAAATTTCCCGCCCTTTCCTCCTGCCTTTTTGCCTTTGGAGTCTCCAAGGGCTTTCCCCCCAACATGCCTTTTTGTCTTTCTTCTTCCCTCGGAATGCATTGGTCAGTTTTCAATGCATTCCTATGGGAAATGGTACTTCGACTTAAGAACACAGTCCCAATACGGATTAAGTTCTTGAGGTACTACTCGCAGTCCCAATACGGATTAAGTTCTTAAGCTGATGTGGCACTGTAACTTGAATTCATAGTAGTTCTGATACATTCCTGGAAAGCCTTTTTGCAAAGGCAGAGCTTTGAAAGCTACTTTTAGAAAGTGGCAATTTAAAGTTATAGTTCTAAGTTCCATACCAGCAGAGTAACTACTTTCTAGTACAGCTACAGTTCTGAAATGAACTCTTTATCTTTACATTTCTCAAAAGCAGCTAAGTTGGAAAAATATCTGACTGATAAAAGCTGCAGGCCAGTAGAACAAAATACTCTTCTGCCATCTACCTCCTTGTCCGAACAGAGAATGGGACTTAGTATGAGGCAGCACTTGAACTATTTAGAGGGGCAGTAACACCTTAACTATAAAAAATAACTACAGTAAAGTTATAGTCACACTGCTAAAGGTGTAAATTGTAACTTCTTAAGTAATGATCATGTAATGCGACTTTACTTTTATGAATGGAAAAATGAATTACAAGTAATTAGTTATTTGCAACTAGTTTCTTAGCATAGTAAATCAAACTAGAGAAGGACTGTTGAATCAATGGAGATTGAGTGAATCAACACTTTTGAGTTGGTTGTTGTGGGTTTTTCGGGCTCTTTGGCCATGTTCTGAAGGTTGTACTTCCTTTTGAGTTGATTCACAAAGTTCAATTGATTCAAATGCGCCTACTCTAATTGTGATTTACAGTGCTCATTCACCAAATCCCATGGATTCAATAGGGCTGCTCTAGCATGACTTAATACACAAAACAACAGGATTTTGGCCAATGTAAACAAGCAGAATACTTGTGCACACAACTTCTACTTGCTTCATTTCTCACTTTGTGTAAGAGGATAAATTAACCAGGAGGGAACAGCATCATTTTTGGCTGATCATTGCTAAGTATACCCAAACAAGCCAGGATTCGTAAGTGAACAACAAAATTTGATGTAAAGCTAGTTTTCAATTCTGGATTGTTTGGGCACAATTAACCACAATTCTGGCTTCAGGCATCATAGAAAGCTTTCCACTTCCTAATTTGTTCACCGTTCATGTGAAACAATGACACATGATCTGCGCACTGACAGACTACTTATGTACATCTCAGTTCATTAAGCCATTACATCTGTCTTAGAAACATCAAGGAAGGGCAGCCACTGTATTCAGCACACCTGCACTTACTCAGGCCTGTTGCATTCTCGAACAGCATTTTTAATGCCTCCTCCACATGTTCGTGAGCAAGCTCCAAAAGGACTCCATGTGCCCCATGTTCCATCTGTCACAGGTAATTCTCGCTCTCTGGGCACACAGTGGCCATACTTGCAGTGCTAAACTCCAAAAAGAAGGGCAGAGATTTGTAATTAGAAAAGGTTGTATAATGTTCATTCGTGCAGTGATTTGGATTCTAACATTTTTTGATGATGCTGATTGTTTTTTTAAAAAATTATGGGTTAACGTCCTTTGCAAAAAATTTGTCTTAGCTTGCATCACTAAAGGCTAGGTGGAAAGTATGGCCTTGTTTTTGGCAGCTACATATAAGTATTAATTAACCCCTGTACTTTCATTATACTGTTTTAATGATTGTATTTGTTTTATTTCTGGGATACCACCTCTCTCCGATAAACATAATTATTAATTGTTTTTCTTGTTAAAAAGCAGTCTCTCCTCTACTCTACAACTTCTTAAATGCAATGAAAAAGGCAAATGAAGATAAATATACAAGTGAAAAAGGTCTTTCCCAACCACTTGCAACGAATAATCCAGATCAAATAAGCAATATTATATGAGTGATAAAGAGAAATGAGATTACTCTGATAGTTTAAATAGAACAAATGTTCTCTCACTTTGCAAGATTAATTTTTTAAGTATCCCGGAGTGCAGTTTAATAAGCAAGATTGACGGCTCTTGTTTCAGAATTTGAAAGATACAGAGGCTTCTAATACCTTCCCAGCACTAGAGTTTTCAATGTCAATATTAATTAAGATGCTGCTCTAGTGCACCAAACAGTTGCATGGCAAAGAATGAGTGTTAACAAAATTATACATGCATTAGATTTTATAAGGTGTAACGAATCTGCATGCTCTATTTACACAACCAATTTCTCCCTTCGCCGCAGTTCAGAATAACTGTTTAATGGGGGAAAAGCTCAGCTTTTACATATCATCTAAAGCCTCTCTGAAAAGAAGATTATGGCAGACATGCTGTTGGACAGAATCTATGAGAAGGAAGCTTAGCAGCGCCCCCGCCCCCAAAAAAGGCAGAATGGTAATTTATTGCCTCCAGACCTGATACAATTTGTACAATGAACCAGTTCTTCATGCTTGGGAGACAGCATGAAGGACCAGGTACCTTAGAGACACTCTCCATGCATCTGCAATGCACAAACAGCACACACCACTTCAAAGAAGCAATGGTAAGGATGTTAAAGAGAAACCCAGATGTCAAAAGCTGTGAAGAATGAAGCAGAAGTGAAAAGAAAATGCAGAACATACCATGCCACTCTCATATCAGTGCTTTGCTACTGTTTTGGTTACCCATCTATTTCCCCTTCAGATGCCTTCATCAGATGAAGTGCTAACTGAGATGAGCACTTCTTCAGTGATGGCATTCCATCTTTCCAAATGCCCTCCCAAAGAGGCTCTACTTTTGCCTCTTTTACAGTATTTTCAGTCCCAGTTCAAGGCTTCTTAATTCCAAGATTTGTTTTAGTACTTTCAGATATTTCCATTGTCCTTTTTTTTTTCTGAGGGATCTACTTCAAGTTCCTTATGTGCTGTCTGCTCAGGTTTTACAGCTTGGTGCTGGCTTCTATTTAGGATTGTTCTTGGGACATACACTTTAATGATAAAGACAAATGTCGAAACAATCAAATAATTTTGGAATCTTGATAGCATTGTTTGGGCGTTTGACCAAAAGTTGAAGGGATAAAATTCAGAATGAGAATGACTCCCTCCACCAAAATATCTTACACTTCAACATTTAATGTTTAAAGCAGGCCACAGAATTCCATGGTAACCCTTGGATGTTTGATCAAAGCAAAAAAGAACATTCATGGTGATGAAATCAGGCAATTTAATTGACTTAAATTATTTTTAAAACACCAGACACTTGAGGAGAGTCTCCTTCTTTCTAGGATTACATAGAACAGTAATCTGAGAGAGGGGAAAGACTGGTCTGGTTCATATCTAATGGGGAAACCACTACAATCTTTCCCTGTATGTGAATAACTCTATATCAGTTTCAAGATTATTTGAGAAGATCGGAAGCACCTGCTTTTACTTATATCCAAATTACAGCTCTTTCTTTAAACTATGGTTAGCAAGAATGAGCCAAGATAAACAGATATTTACAGATTCTGATTCGTTCCGATACCATCATTTATCATAATTCTGATACCATGCTTCCTACATTCAGACATCACACGGAACTGTAGTTTGTTTAAAAAGTGGAAACAGATGCCTCTAACTATGTTCTCTGGCAAAAAAAAAAGAGGGGAGGGGGAACTACATCATATTGATGTCTGTGCAGGATTATTCACATGGGCCCAGACAATGGGGGTCCCAGATGTTGTTTGAACTGCAATTCCTGTTAGTTCTTGCCAGCACAGCTAATGATGACAGATCATGGGAGCTGCAGTTCAACATCTGGGTGTCATTTGTCCACCTCAGCTTAATGCTTAGTGTCTGAACTGGAGCATGAATTTGTCATGGTTGGTTACATGTTGACAAGTTTCTTCTACATGTAGGTTTGAAGAGCTCAGACGTCCTAGACCAATGCTTCCCAAACTTGGGTGCCCAGATGGTCTTGGTCTACAACTCCCAGAAATCTTGGCCAGCATAGCTAGTAGTGAAGGCTTCTGGGAGTTTTGATCCAAGAACACCTGGAGACCCAAGCTTGCGAACCAGTGCCCTGAACAATGAAGGGCATGCAAACTGTTGAGGCGAGCAGAGAGACAATTCCCGGAGCCATTGTGTCGCTCCCATGTACTTACTGATCCTAAGCAAGAAGCCCAAATTCTGACAGCTTCCAAGGGAAGTGGCCTGTCTGATTTTCTGATTACAGGTTAGCTGTCATTATGTGTCAGTAGAAAAGACAAAATAGCAGAGCAGACATGCTGAAAGCACTTTTGAATATAGGCTGTAGATATCACAAAGAGTCCTGGGCAATCTAAAAAGAAGGATTTTATGTTTAGAGTGAATTTGAATCTCTAATGCCACCCACTTAGGTGAATTAGGCAAAATCTGTTCTTAAAAGATATTGAGTGGCCATATCTTCTCCCAGTGAAGGGGAAGTTCTGCAACTTTAAAAATATCAGGATCAATCCCTATAATAAACTCCTGCACTGGAATATATGCTCTGCAGCTGTCATATAGACAGACACGGCTTCAGTACAGGCAATGCTCTCCCAAAGGAACAACAGCTGCAGTGTGCAACAAAAATATTGAAATAGCAATAATGGTTGCCAGAGAAGAGATTAGAGATGGAAAGTGTGCAACAAAAATATTGAAATAGCAATCATGGTTACCAGAGATTAGAGATGGAAGTACTCGTATATGATTATGAATATCCCCGTACAGCTGGATTTAACAAGGGTCCACCCCACCCAGGGCCAGACCATACACTCACGCATCTTGTGGCAGCACTGCTCATCCTTCCAATTGTACATGGAGTGCCACTCTCTTCCAGCTCTGCTGGCCACTCCAGGCAGGGAGAGGAAGGACGGGTTTCCCTGCATGGATTCTGAGTGGCCAGTGGAATAAGAAGAGAGCAGGGCTCTGGGCACGACTGGAAGGATGAACAGGGGTGCCATCACCGTGGGATACATGAGTGGACAGTCTGGCCCAGGGGGCTCGACCCTCGTTAGGTCCAGCTGTGTGGGGACATTCATATTCATATACGAATACCCCCATCTCTAGAAGATATCGTTTTGCTTGCAAGTTTGCAGACCTTCAACAAGAAAATATGTTCTACATAAATTAGAACCAAAAGTTAGAGGCGGAAGATTCATCTGAACAATCCACTGACAATTGTCAACAATCACTGCATCACACAGTTGAGCTCTTTGTCTTCATTGTATGAAGTCAAACATAGTTGCACATGTGGAGCTTGGAACTTATAAGGACCTTGTTTATCAATCAGTAATAGGCCAACACAAAATAAAAGTAACTGAACATGACCAACATTTTTGCCCTCGAAAGCCAGGGTTTAATCTAACTGTTACTCCTGCCTAAAGTAGACCCACTGAATCTTGTAATGACTTTGGAAATGGCATTCTGTGGGTCTGCTCTTAATACGAGCAACAGTTGGATTTAGCCATTAGTCTGACACTGAATTTTATGATATACAACTCTATGCTATCACTGAACATTCATTGAACACCAACATGAGCACATCTGAGTTAGGAAAAAGGATTAGAGTATATAATGTTTTATTTGTCTATAATGCTTCTTTTTGTCAAGTTTTCTTGGGGCTTTTAGGTGTTCAAAAGTGCTGCTGTTACTTCCTATTTACAGTGACCTTTTGAGTTAATGACCTCCAAAAGATCCTTCAAACTAAACACTTTCGAATCTACAAATATGTTACCTCCACAAGGACTCTTGACAGCTCTGTATGCCATAGGCTTTAAAACAGGAAAACCTGAAGCAAAGTCTTAGTCTCTCAGCACAGTTTGCCTGGTCAAGGCTGCAAGCTATGGAAGACATTTAAAAAGACATTCTCCAACCCGGGGAATTCAGTTCCAGTATTTAGATTTGTATTGTGCAACCCATCCGATTGTATGGAAGAAACTGAATGATAATCATGAGCACTTGAAGCTTAGGGACTGGAAATCTATCTGTATCTATTCCATATCACTTTTGCATTTTTTAATTTTAAAAACCCCTTTCAAAATACAGTGGACCCTCTACTTAAGGAATTAATCCGTATTGGAATGGTGGCTGCAAGTCGAAAAGTCTGTAAGTTGAATCTCCATTGACCTACAATGCACTGAAAACCGATTAATCCCATAACCAGTGGTTTTTATTCTATTTTTATTCCATTTTGGTTTTTTTCTGGTCTGTAAGTCGATTCTCTGGCTGCAAGTTGAATCTAAATTTTGCAGCCAGAGAAGTCTGTAAGTCGAGCCGTCTGTAAGTCGAGGGTCTACTGTATATGTCTAAGTAAAGGTAGATGGGCAAAGAAGCAGGATCAGGCTGTAGGTATCACAACAATCAGATGGATTACACAATACAAACCTAAATACTGGAACTGAATTCCCTGGGTGCACAAACCCCATTTCCCTGGCTACACCTCTGGTCTGCAAAAAAATTAAATGAGTTTAAATCAGCGGTCCCCAACCGTTTTTGAGTCACAACCCCTTTGTATAAAAGCCAAGTAACCTACGATTCCACCCCCCCGTTTGCATAAAAAGGCATTTTCGATGGGGTAAAGCCCTCCCTTTCAGAAAGCTGGGGTTCTCTCTCTCCCCAAAGGGCCTGTTTCTCACACACGTTCATACACACTAACTGTTAATATCCTGCTCCAAATTGTCAAGGAAGAAATTATTTAAGAAGGGCTACGCCACATATAAGGCAAGCCACAAACCGCCACAAGGACCGGGGATCACTACACACAAGAGACCAGCTAATGACACCCATGAATCATAGTGACAGATAATCTCTCCTCCCTATCACAACAATATACCCACAACAAGACACACTAATCACCCATCTCCTGAAAAGGACAAAAGCCTATATCACAGCCATAAATCACTCCCAAGCTAACTACACCAGAGCACAGAGTGCTGTCCTCTGAAGATGCTGGCCACAGAGACTGGCGAAACGTTAAGAAGAACAACCTTCAAAACACGGCCAAAGGGCCCGAAAAACCCACAACAACCAAGTGCTTTGTTTATTTGCTGATACTTTTATTGCATTTTATTAACTATAATAAGCTCAACAATGTTCCACATGCTCTACTGTATTTTGTTGCAAGCCATTATCCATCTTGGGCTCTTTCTCAGTAAAGGACAGATGTAAACAAGCAATCGGATGGCTTTTAGAACGGGCAGGTAGGCGAGATGTAGTATGTGAACTGTGACGCCACAATTTTTCAAGCCTCTTCCTACAAAAATACATAGAGTGACTGACTCTCTATTCCCTGGACTGAGACCACTATAACAATGGCTCATCTGTCTGCGTGGTGGTGGGTGGGATGCAAGAAACAACAGAAGTGCCAACAACAAACCTTTCCTGGGCCACATTCCGTCCCATCTGCCCACGGCGTGTGCTGCGTGCGACATCCTTTATGGGCTCCATCAGCATTGATGCACCAGAGTCTTCTGCACTGCTTCTGCTTAAGTGATTTCAAATGGTCTCAGTATTACTGAACAGCCATTCTAACATATGCTACAGGCTGCACATATATTTTAGGTTATTTCCCTGGTGTTATTACCATCACTGAGAAAGGAAGTGTAAACAATTGAAAGCAATAAAATAGAGGAAGGGGTTTTGTCTAAAGCTGCAGATGTAAAAGCAGTCTGCCTAAATGCCTTATCCAGGAGTTGCAGATGGGTTAGTGGCTCAGTCTTTGCCCATACAAAATGCCTGGAAGTCATATTATGAAAACTGGTTGAACATCTCCCATCGAAATATGCTGAACTAAAAATGAGGAGCCCTGAACAACAAGGATACTGTGAACTAAATTCAGTGTTAGGCTCAAACAGACTGAGTAAAATGAAGGAGACTTGTTAGCCACCACTCACGTAAGCCCAGTTGACTTCAATGGATCTGCTCTGATTGGGGCCAATTTTGACTGTCCGAAACATGGCCACATCATTGATATAAGATACTTCCCTCATTTTCTAGCAAGGTTCTCTCTGTATGTTCCCTTTTTCTAAGGCCATTTCCTCTATTTCAGGCAATCATTACTACTGTAAAAGCACCTAGGTTTTGAGATCATTAAAAGCTTGAGAAGGCTACAGTCCTATTACATAAAGGTTCAGAAACAAGAAAATAATATAATGGCCTCAAAACTGAATCCTTCTAAACTCTGTAATATCATTTTCAACAAAGAATTTCTTATTGCAAGCAGAAAAAAAACATATCATTAACATCAATTTTCAGTGTGATTGGCTTTGAGATGGAAAATGTTCATTTTTTTTTGTACCTCAGCTCACAGAATACCTCGCTCAGCATGGTTAGTAGATATCCTGGGAGTTCTACTTCAAAAAACAACACTGTCCAACTTTAGTCTATGTTCCATTCCACCTTTCTTATTGTTTAGCTACACAGATAAGCCATGGCTCTCTAGAATCACATTGATTTCCCTCTAATGGTCCTTGGTTTAGAATGATTATATACAGTACAACTGTAGTCCTATAAATAACATAAAAGACCTCTATTGAGTGACAAATTAGGCTGCAGTTCTATACGTACTTATTTGGGAGGTGGAGGAGTAGTCTCCCTGAATTTAGCAGGGCTTATTTCTGCATTGACATCTGTACAGCTATGTTGTTAAGTTATATAAACAGTTAATCTCTAACGTTAGCCCTTTCAGTTGCTTCCATCTCTCTGATGTATTTTTTATAGTTAATCAGAGACTAATGTAAAATGAAAACATCTTGCTAAATGAGGGGTTGGTCAATTAGAAGTTGAGTAATCTGTCAGCAGTGCTAAAAGCACAACTTTCTGTAAAAAGTAAATAAATAACACCATATGGATACAACCCCCCAAAGCATTATGGTTCTAAGCCTGTAGAACAATTCACCTACACCCCACAGCCTGACAACTGGTGTATGAGAGACAGACTGCCAATGGCAGTTTAGCACATGATATGTTGATAAAAACAATTCTACAACTGAAGATAATTATGTTACATTTATTTATTTATTTACCCCACCTTTTTTCCTTAAAGAGGACTCAAGGCAGCTTACATCATTAAAAAGACAATAATTTAAAGCTAAACACAAAATGTATACAAATATTTAAAAAGAATTGAACAAGTTATTATATTAAAATGGTTAAAAAGATCAATATTACATTTAAAACAACAGAGCAGAACAACCCATTAAAAACCTTTCTCAGGCCATCAGTCATTAAGGAAAAGCCTACCTAAAGAGAAAGGTCTTTTACTGCTGCTTGTGGAAGGACAACAATGATGGAGCCACCCTAGCTTCCTGTGGGATAGAGTACCAGAGTCTGGGAGCTGCAACAGAGAAGGCCTGCTCCTGTGTCCCCCACCAAATGGACCTGTGAAGGTGGAGAGACTGAAAAAGGGCCTCCCTGATGGTCTTACGCCTGGGCAGGATCGTAGAAGAAGACACATTCTTTTAGCTAGCTTGGACTAGAGATGGGATATTCGTATTTGTATCCCTGGGGATGCAAATACGAATATTTGTACCACAGGGGCTTGGAAAGTCCCTCCTGCCAGAACTGGGAGTTCCAATTACCGGTTGCTGCTCAGAGGGTGCATCCAATATCATTCCTGTTGCACCAATTGCACAACGGGAAGTAGCCTGGTCCCACACAACTGACCACTCTGGTGAGGAGGCGGGATGATAAGTCTCCCTGCTCAGCTGGTGAGTGGTCAGCTGCGTAGGCAGGCTGGGCTACCTGCACAACTGGCACAACAGGAATGATGGCAGCCCCACGCACTGTGTGACGACCAGTAATTGGACCTGCTGGCTTGGGGAGGGGTGAGAGACTGAACTTTCCAGGCACCTATAGTGCTGATCTCCAGGGATATGAATATAAATATCCAATCTCTCATTTTGAGCTAAGCTGTTTAGGGCTTTATAGGATAAAACCAGCGCTTTGAATTATGCCACAAAACAGATTGGAGCTGCTTTAACAGGGGAGTTATCTGTTCTTTGTAACCAGTCCCAGTTAGCAATCTGGATGCAGTATTTTGGACCCACTGGAGTTTTGGAACACTTTCCAATGGAAGCCCCATATAGAGCCCACTGCAGTAATCTAGGACATTAAAGTCAGTCAGCATGTTGTCTGTGGCTCCTCTGGTTAATTATCAGTTTCTAGTGGTTAACATGATACTAATCAAGCTGTCTTTCCCATATAAAAAACAACACTTGGTCATTACCTTGATATTGGCAATCTCATGGTTGTTAGTAGAGATGGGCACAAAGCTAACAATGAAGTTCATCAAAAGTCACTAAGTCATTGATTCGGATTGGTTCGTGTTCATCCAAACTAGAGAACCCAAACTTTCCTGAACCAACAAACCTTCTAGCAATTTAACACCCCCCTGTCCCGTTCCGACTGCTCCTACCCCATCTTGAGAGGCAGCCAGCTCCTGCAGGCTGGCAACTTATGCATATGTCCCCATTTCTCTGCTGATCTCTCTCTCTCTCTCTCTCTCTCTCTCTCTCTCTATCCATCGATCCATCGATCGATCAATCCATCGATAGGATATATATATATATATATAGATAGATAGGCTCTAGATAGATAGATAGATAGATAGATAGGCTCTAGATAGATAGGATCGATCGATAGATATCCTAAATGAACTTTTTAAAAAACCCTATGCAATTGAGAATTTCTGAAAACCTATCTACCTCTTCAGATATCCAATTAACTGACTTTATAGTGAAATACTGGGATATTGTGCTCATTCCTTGAAAGCTACATTAATTTCTAATATTTCCTGCATAAATAAGTTGTTGGTCAAATAGACTGCCTTTCCATGTTTCTTCAAAGATAACAATCAATACTCTGCCACAGTACTCTCTCTCTCTCATGGCTTCATACTATGTATGTGACTATTTTGGACACATGGATATGGCTGATTACACAGATGCTTCCTATATGATCTGCACCGACCAAGAGTGGAGGGTGCTGATTAGTGAGATTGTTCCAGAAGGTTGGTCCTACCCAGCTGCTTATGCTCATCTGAGAGACCACTAGAGAAGTAGGTCTCATATCTTTGAGCAAGCGGTGTGCAAAATTATTCAGAGATATTTGAGAATCTGATATTGGAAATTAGAAGTTTTGAATCCAAACAGAAAGGATGTAAAAATTTTCACTAGTAATATTTTGATTTGATAAACTGATTTGCTTTTCCTCTTTAAGTAAACCAAATAATTAAAGAAAGAAGGAAAGAAAAGCGTCTTACCATATAGGGACAAACCTTTGCACCAGGCCCAAATATTAACTCACACTGCTTATTGACATCATACATGTATCCTGGAAGTTGTTGAGGCAAAGTGTACGTTCTTGATGAAGGTTCATCAAGCAAACACTCGCCATAACCAGTGCTAGAAAGAAAAGCATTACATTTATTTCCAGTGTTGGAAGTAATTGCAAAATCTTCAAATGGTGTTTAGGCTACTTAGGAATTACCAGGAATGAGATTGTTTTGATTTTTCCAACTACAAATCCCATCATTTTCCATTCTGGAAGATCCACCTGACAGACCCAGACCTACAGACACTTAAATTTAATTTAAAAATTAATTTTTAAAAATGTTTCAACCTCTGAATGTAATTTTTATCCATTAATTTGCATGCCATACTCTTACAAGACTCTGCCCAAAGCTGTTTTGAAATGTATTTCTTTTTTAAAAAAGGGAAAAAATTATAGAGGCCTTACTCTAAAAATTCTGTGATATATTTTCGACTGCATTTTGACCACATCCAAGGGTTGGTATTATAATTCAGAGTAGGAGCCATAACATGCTGTTGGTTTTTTCCTCCATCTTCTTTGCACTTATTGTTGTCATCATGAGGCATGTTAAATCTATAGAGACAGATTATTGGCCACCATATTAGCAAAGATTTTTAAAAGAACGTAATAAAGTATACAACCTTACCAAATATTACTGTCATTAAATAAGAGTAGAGGGGAGTTATGCATGTACTTAACTCCCTCGATAAAAGCAAGGAGATTTAAAAGAGCTTAAGGAATGAGCTAGCCAAGCTGGCAGCAAAAAAATGAATAATTAAATAATTTTTTAAAGTAAATAAATTAAAAGACAATCAATTAAAATGTTAAAAATATTTTAATTATTAAAAAGTACTAGATAAAACCTCCTTTAAAATACAAAAAAGACAACTCCCCCATTAAAACTCTTCCTCAGCAGTTACTTATTAAAAGCTTCCTAGAAGGAAAAGTCGTGGCCTACCAGCAAGGACAGTAGAAAGAGATGGTCAGCCATGTGTGCTGTGGGCCATATGCCAGAGGTGGAAGGGCTAGAGCTAATCATGATTAGGACCACAGATTTTTTTTCTCTCCATTTCTAATGCCACCCCTTTCCATTCTTCCCTCCCCAGTCTTCCTCCCTGCCTAGTGGACTTCTGGGAGAGGGGCAAATAAGTCTTGCCAGAGGTGAAGCCAGTGCTCAGAACTGGAAATTCATTCACTACTGTTTACTGCTAGAAATGGGGGAATCAATTGGCTGGTTTAATTAATGAGTTTAAAACTGCAACTGTTTCATTCACTGAACTGGCAACATCAATTCTTTAATTAACTACTTAATGTTAAAGTAAACAGGGGTTTTACAGAGAAAGACGGGTGTCATTACCATGGACTGCTCATAGAACATGTGCTTCTTCAAAAGGTGTTCTTTTTATCATGTTGGAATTGACTTTTCTCCAGTTAGACTACAAATCTTGTAATACAATCATTAGCTATGGATGGTGGTTCCAACATTTTTTATATTGGGTAGAGGAAAGATATGGGTCCCGGCACAGGATCTCCTCTTATCATTCACAAAGAAAGTCCCCTGCACATCCAACAAGATTAAAGATACCTGCAACCAGTAAATCCTTTGACACTTCCAAATGCAGTTCATCAGCAGAACCTGAGCCTGAAAATAATCTTAATAAAAAGTTGCACTGCCCCCCTGACCTTACACTTCCATGAGTTATACAGGTCATAATGGCCAGTTCTGGTTACCAAGTGTGAGACTCCCGATGTCACTGAATAATAGCTTCCAGAAACCACTCATTGGTTGTGTTGACTAGGAATGTCCAGGAATTTTCGAGAAACGTCTGAAATGCCAAGGTTAGGACTCACTTGGGGAAAGTTAATTCTCATGGGGAGAGGTACATTAGTGACCTTTTCCTTGAAGGAAGAATGTGGATAACCAGATACAGTATACCATAAGTAGTATTTTTAACACAGAAGATTTATATTATGATTACTCTTAAAATGTTCACAATGGAATGCCTGTGAATAGTGCAATACAAAACAATGTATTTAACACTTACACAGTGGTTCCCAGCCTTGGGTAATCTGGGTGTTCTTGGATTGCAAGAAGCCTTCACTACTAGCTGTGCTGCCAGGGTTTTGGGGAGTGCTATTTAATATCTATATGAAGCCCCTTCGGGAGGGCATCAGGAGTTTTGGAGATTCATGTCACCGATATATGGATGACACCCAGCTCTATCTCTCCTTCCACCTATAGTGGATGCCATCCCGTCTCTTGACCGCTGCCTGGATGCCATGCCCAGGTGGTTGAAGGTAACAGACCGAGGTTGAACCCGGACAAGGTGGATGTCCTGTGGATGGGTGCCCCGAGTACCTGCATCTATCTCTTGAGCGCTGCCTGGATGCCATGCCCAGGTGGATGAAGGTAACAGACCGAGGTTGAACCCAGACAAGATGGATATCCTGTGGATGGGTGCCCATAGTATCTGCATTTGGGTGCCTCTCTTTATTTTGGGGGAACACTCTCTACTAAGAATGAGGTTCACAGTTTGGGCACACCTCTGGAGTCAGTGCTATCAGCGGAGTCCCAGGTAGTGCCTGTGATCTGTTCCGCATTTTCCCACCTAAGGTGGATCACCTCTCTTTATTTTGGGGGAACACTCTCTATAAGTATGAGGTTCACAGTTTGGGCGCACCTCTGGAGTCAGTGCTATAAATGGAGTCCCAGGTAATGTCTGTGATCTGTTCCACATTTTTCCACCTAAGGTGGATCGCCCAGCTGTGTCCCTATCTGGACACTGGGTCTCTCACCACATGGGTCAATGCACTGGTAGTCTCGAGATTAGACTACTGCAATGCTCGTTATGTCCACATAAAAGGGACCTCGATACTTGGCAGAATGCCTCCTTCCAGTGAGATCTGGCTGACCTACTTGATCTTCCTGGGCTGGGCAGTTGAGAGCACGGACCCCAAGAGAGGCCCCGAAAGTGAAGATCAGAAACTGGGCCTTCTTGGTAATTCCCCCCCCCGCCCAATCTCTGGAATAATCTCCCATCTGACATTTGCCTGGCCCTCTCACTGGGAACTTTCAAACAATCCTTGAAAACATGGCTGTTTAGACTAGCTTTTCTGGAGATTACATCATCATCGTGCAGAAGCTTTTTCGGTGCTTATATCACCAGGTCCCACCATCTTACCTTTTAAGATTAGTTTCAGTTATTCTGAACACTGAAGTTCCTTTTGAATGGGAATCTTCCAGAGCCCCAACTCATTTTCAGGGTAATCAGCCTTCTGACTGCTCATCCTTACTAATTAGCGAGAGCAAACTGAACTACATGTCTAAGTATAACATCCTTGTGGCAGTGTTTTCTAAATGTTAATTGAATCTAACCATCCATGGCTGACATGACTGCTGTTGTCCTTCTACCAGACAGAGTTAGTCTCTGGGACCATCATACTCCAATTGGCTTCTCTTTTGAATGTAGGACATTTATTAAATGGCATCAAGCACCATTATCAATATATTTTTTAAAAAAACGTCCATTTAAGTTTTACACCACATGATATACTGAAGAATGTTGAAAATATACCACAGAGATGGAGCAGCTTAAGCTGCTGTGCTACTTGAAGTAGAAGAGAGGAAGTGACCTGATGTGATCCTAAATTTAAAGGTTGGTGAGTGTATGTTTCCATTTAAGCTTTCCTTCAGTGAACAAACTTTGCCCCCTGCTAAAATAGCAAAAAGGAGTTTCCTGTTTAGAGCTGCCTGTAACCCCATGAAGCCACTTCTAATGAACTGAACAAAGTTTGTTAAATGCAGGCAGACCCTGATCTCTGGGAATTGCCATTAGAATGGCAAATAAAAATGGGAAAAATCAGCAATTCAAAAAACAAAACAAAACAAAGCTAAACATTTCAGCCTTCAAGGCACCTGGTTAAAGACTATAACTTTAATTCTTACTAATTTTAGAAGAACTTTCTTTCCTCTTCATTGTTTTACCTGTTAGGTTCTGGCAATCTACAGACCTAAAAATAGCTGTTCAAAATGGAAATTTGAGAGGAAAGTAAGGGAAATGTCTAGACTGGCTCTTTGGATGTAGTCTGGTACAGTCTACATAGGGTCGGTTGGGTCAGGAAGATAAGTGACATGCCATTTGCAAGGTGTTCGTTAAACTGCATATATCCCAGACATGCTCACTCACTCACTTTGTGTCTTCCAACAAAATATGTATAGCAGAATCAACTGAGAAGAGACATAAAACAAAACCTAGAGCATCACTGATGTGCTGAATCGCTCAGATTAAAATTTTTTTTAAATATTTTATTTGTTTTGTGTGTAGTGCTGATCAAGAAAGAAATCACTTGTAGCCACAGTTTCAATCAGTACTTCACACAAAGGAAAGATTAAAAAATTCTAAGGGATTTAGCAAATCAGTGATGGTCTAGCACAGTAGTTCTTAACCTTGGGTTACGCTGGTGTTTTTGGACTGCAACTCCCAGAAGCTTTCACCAGCAGCTGTGCTGGCTGGGGTTTCTGGGAGTTGCAGTTCAAAAACACCTGAGTAACCCAAGGTTAAGAACCACTGGTCTAGCACAGTGGGTCCCAACATTGGGTAACCCAGATGTTCTTGAACTGCAATTCCTAGAAACCATCACCATCAGCTGTTGGGGGAGGGGATGAAAGCCCCTGCTCTGTGAACAATTTAAACCTTTTTAAGAGTGGTCTGGTAGTCCAGATAGGTGGGGTATAAATTAAATAAATAATAATAATAAATAATTTTTGTTTACAGGGACACAAAACAGGATCCAAGCCAATGCTGGTACTCCATATATAAAGGTGAGTGCATGTGTGTTCTTTTAAGCATACAATTTACGGTCAGCTGTAGGTTGTAATACATATTTTAAATATATTGGTAATTTTACAGAACATACACATGGCCAAGTTCATGTGCAATCGTAAAAGCAGTACTTAGTCCACTGTCTTCACTAATTGAACAGCTCCGATATGGATCACAGACTGTACCCAATTCTGCCAGACCTAAGAAATCAAAAGCAGAACAACAGAAAAAGAGAGTTTGCTATTTAAGTAAAGGAACACAATATACTGTCAAGAACATCTACAAGTTGACTAAGAGTAGGGAAAAAAGAGATTAGGCTTACCTAAAGTATCACATTTGTCATGAGCTCTGCAAATATCCTGTCTGAAAGAAAAAACCAGACTTGATGCTTTTAATTTCTGTGCAAGTTACTATTTAAAAAACAATAATAAATAGACACCATTTAACTACTCTGCTCTAGGTTTATTTATTTGTCAGGCTGCTTCTATATATAGCCTGCCCAGTTCCACAGGCACAAGACAGTTAATCACAGATTAAAAAGCAAATGCAAAATCTAATTTGTATTTTTCAATCAATTATTGAAGGACTTATTATTCTATACCGAAATGTTCTCCAGCATGATAAACAAAGTCTTCCTGAGACATGAATGATCATCTGTAGGGACGTTTCACTGTAAAATGTTATTATATGTTATTACACAGTATTATTATATTATAACATACTGTTATTATACAGTGGTGCCTCGCTTAGCGATCGCTCCGTTGAGCGATGAATTCGCATAGCGAGGGGGTCCAGGCCATCGCTGGAGCGTTCGCTCAGCAATGGCCCCTATGGCGTTTTTTCGCTGTGCGACGATCGCTAAGCGATTCGCTTAGCGATTTTCGCACAATGAAGCGGGGGAGAACAGCTGATCGGCGGTTCCAAAATGGCCGCCACAACTTTTCCCACTGTGCCCTCGCTTACCGAGGGCGCGAAAATGGCCGCCCCTATGGAGAAGCTTCACTCAACGGTAAGTTTAGGGCCCACTGGAACGCATTAAACCAAGTTTAATGCGTTGTAATGGGTTTTTTTGTTCCGTTGAGCGATGTTTCCCATAGCGAGGGTTAATCCGGAACGGATTAACCTCACTGTGCGAGGCACCACTGTATAATAATTGTTTTTATCTAGTCTGTTGTGAGCCGCCTAGAGTAGACAATGTCTAGATAGGTGACATATAAGTGCAATAAATAAATAAAACTTCACAAGGTCCTCCTGGGTCAAACTGAGAAACATGCATTGGTCGTAACTAGTAGCTACCTAAAAATTGTAACATTAATGAAGCAGCAGTTGAATGTGCTTGAGAGGCAATGTGCTCGAGAGGCAAATCCAAGCTGTGTTATTTCCTAGAAAAGAAAAGGAAAATGTGTGGCCCTTCAGAAGTTGTTGAACTGCAGCTACTATCGCAAGAAGCATAGATAGTGAGGGATCATGGAAACATACTGAGGAATCATGGAAACTGCAATCCAGCAATACCTGGGGAACCACACATTCCTCAACCCTATCCTAGAGTTAGTTTTCTCATTCATAAGGATCTGATCAGAACTGAAGACGTGGAGGAAGCTGATACTATTCTCTCTTATTGACAGCAGCCTATGTAGTACTTGCATCATAAATCCCTAAATTGCTATTCATCTCCTATACTTCCCACCAAAAACGGCAGATGGTTTTGCTATCTGAAGTCATTAGGATTGGCTGAAAAACCAACTACCTTTAGAAGTTGCAGCAATTAAACACCCACTACAATTTTCTCGACTTCGAACTTACAGCCATCATCAAGCAAGCAAGCCTTGGATGTAAGTATTACAACTTCCAAGTGTGGCTTCCCCATGCCCTCACCCATAGCCCCCATTTTCACTTGGACAGCCCCTACCCAACTACATGTTTGGCTCATCAATGAGATTTCAAAATTCAACATGTCTAAAATGCAAGTGATAGATTATTAGTGGGAGCCACAATATAAAATCACAACTGCAATATGAATGTTTATGGAATCGTAAAGCCACTTCCACCCACGACTTTAAATCCTTTCCCCAAACACTCTTTTTCCCCTGAAAGCACAGCGAAAGCATCATTTTTATTGCTAAACAATGTTGCTGTGTAGGAAGCTTCCACACACTGCAAACTTCCCAGCCCACTCAAAATTGCTCATTATAAGTTGCAATCAATGTACATACAGCCCCACTTAAATATAAAACAACTCTAAACAGCATGGCGGTATCCATTCATTACTGTAAAAGGCTTTGCTCCCATTTGCATCATACACATAACTTATCTGCCACAAAATCTCAATTTTTATAGCATGCATTAGAGTTCATGTGGCACTCACACGGCTATTTTAGTGAGATAAAAAGATAAAATCCCACAACTACTGCCCATGACATACCTTGTCACCAACACAGCAGTGTCATGCTTATCTGGATGGTCTTCATTCGGTTGATTCTGGGTTTGCTGCCATTGGCAGAAGTTTTTAAGGGTTGTCTGTGCATTGTAGGATATGGAGGGACCATCCTAGGTATAAAATGCACAGAAAGAAGAACTGGTGTTTTTCTGCCAGACAAGATTGTTCAACTCTGGCTGAAATCTTGTTGTTTAGCGTAGCAACTGAGTAAGCCTATTGAATCAGTGGGGATTTGCTGTGTCAACACTTCTGTATGTGTCACGTACTACATACGGATTTCAGCCAATGCAGCAAAATGAAAGCAAATTAGTCATAAGAAGACATAAGGTCAAGTAAAACCTAAAAAGGACTGATATTTAAAAATCAAAGTTGGAGTTAAAATATTAGTAAAGAGTTTTCCGAACTGTCAACAATGCTAGTTATAGTCAGACAAGTTACTTGCTGCAAAGGCAACTACCTGATTATTCCATCTAAGTTTTAGCAACATACACCTCTGGGCATGACAATTTTTTTCACAACTGTAAAGCATCTGTGCTTCATAGGAATTATTAATAATAGCAAATTACTGGCTGAAATCCACTAGTAAATCAGAACTAGAGTAGGCTCATTGAATCAATGGAACCTACAGATGAGCTGACTCCACTGATTCAGTGGGCCTACTCTAGTTACAACTTACTACTGGATTTCAGCCACTGGCTATAACAAACAGAAAAAGAAAAAAAAGAGGGAGATTAGGATTATCTTAAAAAGTAATTACCTGTTCATTAGGTACGATGGCTAATTTCACAATAACAATATTAATTAAATTTCCAATGCTTGGATCTTTATATATAGAAGATACCTGCATTAAAGATACAGTATGAAAGGTTTATGTTGACAATTATAACAGGAAGCAGAGAATGCAAAACTTCCCTCCCCTTTCACTATAAAAATCTGTATCTGTTCAGTAAAAACTATATAAATTTTTACTTCAATGTAGAACTTTCCTTGGCTGACAAACTGTCAGGGCAAGAAAGGCTACCGCATCAACACACTGGTGACTAAAATCTGTTAGAATTCAAGTGATAAAGTGTGTGAAGTTATGGAGGAAAAAAATGTACAAACACAGGTTGAAGGTGTATACAAGTACTGGTACAACAAATACAAAATATGCAAATTTTGAGATGCAATTTCATAATACTCTCATTACCCAACGGTAGGGATGGGCACGGAACAAGGTCTAGATGTGAGTATGCACAGCATCACAGGTGCCAGATGTTCACTTCCACTGCCTCCCCTGCCAATGACCCACTCACCAGTCCGTGCGTGTGCCACTCCTCCTCCTGTTCAGCTGTTTGACCCGTCACTGGCAGGAGCACGGGCATCTCTTCCCTGCCTCCTTGGCTGATTGCCCACTCCTGCTGGGGACTGGTTCAACAGTCAAAGAGGAGGAGGAGAGGAGCATGCTCTGACTGGTGAGTGGGTCACTGGCTGAGGAGGCAGTGGAAGGGAACACATGGCACCATATCTGTAAGCAGTTACTTCCAAATTATGCTAGATAGCCTTTAGGCTTTCTTTGTTCCTTCTCTGAGGTAATGTTCTGTTCCTTCTTCCTCTTCCATTTAACTTAGGAATTCAGACCCACAGACATGGAAGGCAGCTATAAAGGCTTCTCTCAACAAGTGTTAGAAACATTTCCTCCAACAGACCTGTTATTCAATAGTCACAAGTTCAGCATCAGGCTGAGATATTCCAGCAGTGTAAAAACGCCATAATCCTAACAGTAATCCATGGCACTATGCCCCTATTGCATATTACACTAAGCCTGATTTTAACACTTACTATGGACATTAATGTCAGAATGTAGTGTTGTAAATTTGCTCCATGGTAAGCAACCATTCGACTGTCCGCCATTACCATAACCTCCACATATCGAGGATAGGAGAGAAATCGTTTTGTCCTTCGGCGACCATTCTTTCCTCTTAGGCTGCTGGTCTTGTTTTTACTAGATGCAGGGAATTGCTCTGATGCTAAGCTATGCTTCAATGACTCTGCATCAGATAAAATGTTGCTTGGAGGCCACTGTCCTGTCTTGCTTCTCCTCCTAAACTTTCTGTGATTTCTTCCATGTCCTATAATTTTAAAAAAAGGAAAACAAGACAATAAGCTTTCTTTAAAAGTCAGCTCCCAACGCCAAATAATAACATCATTTGCAACCCCTTCTGACAACACACGCACATGTTGTTGAGTGCCTAGCAGTCAGAAAGAAGAAGAGAGACACCCCTAATAAGGTAGTGTTTCCTATGTAATTGAAGGACTCCTTGATGAACAGAAATGTATTTTTTTTTTTGTATTTCATTTTCAAAAAACTATGCCCAGTTCAGACTGAACTGAACAAGAATGTCCTTCTTATGATGGCAGATCAGCAAGATTTGTTATAAAATCCACCTGCAGAATTATCCAAGAGGATTTTTTCCTCTGAAGACCCAGCCAGCTACAGCAGAGGGAGAGGAAATAGGAAGCAGGGACTTTCAGCTAGGAAAAGAGAGTCTGCTGGACAGCTGTTCTCTTAACTATCACAACCAGCAGCTATTTCAGCAAGCCACGGAGCATTTTTGATGAACAGAAATGTATCTCCTCCCTAAAGGGAGGAGCTGTGGTTTCAGAGCCAGTAAAAGTATAGTGGACCCTCGACTTACGGATTTAATCCGTATTGGAACGGTAGCTGCAGGTCGAAAAGTCTGTAGGTCGAGGCTCCATTGACTTACAATGCATTGAAAACCGATTAATCCTGTAACCGTCCGTTTTGGTTCCATTTTGAATTTTTTTCCCAGTCCGTAGGTCAATTCTCCAGCTGCAAGTTGAGCCTAAATTTTGCAGCCAGAGAAGTCTGTAACTCGAAAAGCCTGCAAGTGGAGCCGTCTGTAAGTCGAGAGTCCACTGTATGTGTACTTAAGATTTTGGACTACACCTCTCAAAATTCTGCTAACATGGCCACTGCCTATGCTGCCAGAAATCTAGTCCCCCCCACCAAAAAAAGACAAACCTACACATCTCTAGCAGATAGCATATTGAGCACCTATTTTGCTGTGAATGGAAACAAAACAAAACCACCATTCTGAGAGAGGTTAGTGACTGATGTATTTTATCTGAACTTTGAGATGGTTTTGAGCAGTTAGTTCTTTATCACTGCTTGTTTTGAGGAGTTTTGTGTTGATATAAAGGTTCATATATGTATGTGTTTGTGTGTTTGTGTGTCCGTGTCACTTGTCCCAGCTCCTGCCAAGCCAGCAGTTCAAAAGCATGTATAAATGCAAGAAGATAAATAGGTACCACGACAGTGGGAAGGTAAAGGCGTTCTGTGTTGAGCCGTGCTGCCCACATGACCACAGAAACTTTCTACGGACAAACGCTGGCTCTATTGGCTTGGAAACGGGGATAAGCACTGCCCCCTAGAGTCAGATACGACTGGACTAAATGTCAAGGGAAACCTTTACCTATCCATGTACACAAATGCAAATAGACACAAAGAGATATTAAGGTTGTGGTTAAATGCTGTGTTGCATATTTGTACATTATTGATTTTATTGGAATGCACTCTGGGGTAGAGCATCACCATCATCATCAGAAATATTAGTATTAAAGAGTTCCAGGAAGTCACACTGCTGGTCTTCCAGGTTGTTGTTGTTTTTTGCCTATAAACCAGAAAATCTGGATGTGAAGACAGTGGGTGCATGCCTAGAATATCTCTCAGGTTAGTTTAAGATGAGGTGCAGGGCACAAAACAGTCTCCAGCGGAAGAAACATTCCCTCATTGTAGGAAAAACATGATGTGCATGGTCAGGCCACTTACATCTTTTGGTGGGAAGAACAGTTTTGAAAGATTTCTGTACATGTTCAGACACATATATTTGGACAGCAAAACAAAGGCAGAAATGCTGATTACACACACACACACACACACACACACACACACACACACACACCTGATTACACACACACACACACACACACACACACACACACACACACACACACACACACACACACACACATGTAAACAAAGAGGGGAGATTTTTTTCTGTTTTTACTGGCCAGTACTTCTAAAGATTTTCTGTCAGTTTCCTTATTGGCTGGAAGAGTAAGAAACACACATGTAAGCTTCTCTCTGACTTAACCAATTAGGCAGAACATTTCCTTTGGAAATTCTGCGAGGCTAGAATAAAAAAAATAAAAATAAAACTAGGAATCCAGGCCAATCAGCAAATGCCCCAAACAGGCACAAGGTGGCAGGCCTGGAATCCCAGAATTTTTTTTAAAAAGGTTATCCAATCAGTATGGCAACTCAACACTTTTTATAATCCCTGTGTTCACAAGCATTGTTATGCTAAACTGAGAAAATGAAAGAAGGCAATCACTCATTCTTAGTCACCTTAATCCCTTCCATCTCCACATTAACATGCCCTTCAGAATAGAAAGCATCTTGCACTATTAAATTTGGCATGCGACAATGAAAGCAAATCCAGTTCAGTTTCAGACTCATGAAAGATATGGAGGAGGGAGGAGTTTCTACAGAGGGATCTGAAGCAGCCTCAGTAAACCTTGTTGTAGTAACTAGGAAGTTAATTATTTCATGGGTCTTCACTGAAGCTTATCAAATGTTAACCAAAATACCTACAGGCATTGATACATGCTGTGAACTGAAAAGTTAGTGACTGGCGTAATGCCAAATGACTTTACTTTGCTAATACCCTCACATTTTACAGTAATCCTGAACGTGTCAGCATCATGGAACACCCTCCTTGCAGCTATGAATTTCTACAGTGGTTGGTGGAAGCACTCGACTGGAGAGATGTGTTTGATCCTTGCTCTCTCACTGAGATTCCCCAGATAAATAGATTCATGTTTTAACATTAAGACAGAGGCCACGTCCCTTTGATCACACCCCAATGAATGAGTGAGAGATTGGCAAGCCCATTCTTAGGTAGGTCTCATTAAGTCAATCAATAAGTGACTCAATGGCTGAAATCCTCCTGGCGCAACTCTATGCTTGGCAAGTAGCATGGCGTCATCATTTTGCAACAATAATGTTTAATTTAATTTAATTTAATTGCTATCCGGCAATTGAATATTAAAGTCCCTCCCTTCCAACATTCTAAAATTCCCAACTGTTTCCTCATGGGGATCCTGAAATGAGAAAATAGGATTTTTTTTTTTGGTTAAATTAAATTAAAATATTACAATTGAAAGATGGCAGTGTCCTGCTCTTGGTGCAGCATAAATGTACGCCAAGAGAATTTCGGTCCTTTACACATTCTGGCGGATGCAAAATACACATTGATATAATTGGAAGTGCAAGAGAAGTAAGTGGAGAGAGGGAAAAAACATCAGAAAGGAATTATCCTCAGGAGCTATAAGTGGGTAACATCAGTGCTGTTATGTAACATACGCCAAGAGAATTTCGGACCTTTACACATTCTGGCGGATGCAAAATACACATTGATATAATTGGAAGTGCAAGAGAAGTAAGTGGAGAGAGGGAAAAAACATCAGAAAGGAATTATCCTCAGGAGCTATAAGTGAGGCCAGCATCCCATTTCCTCATTATCAGGGAATAATGACACTATGGGCAATGAAGTAAGAAAGAATAAAACAGGAAGTGATCCTTTGACTTCTTTGTTTCTACACCTGTAATGGTTTCACATATTTGTTGGTGTATTAAGCTGCTTTACCTGCTTACTTCAGGCCTTTCTCCAAGATATCCACAGAGGGACATACTTTGAAATCTCTATGAAAAATCCCTGCGTTCCTCAGGATGGAATTGCTCATTCAGAATACAGGGCAATGTGTGCTTCTGATTTCTCAGTTTTGATGTATTGCAAAACCCTTTTCAGGGTTTTCCATGTAGGGAATACTCAGAAGTGCTTAACCATTCCCTTCTTCGGGGGGCACCCTCGGACTGCGCAGCTTGCCCAAAGCTACACAGGTCAGTTTTTCTCCCAGGAGGCACAGTGGGGAATCACACTTCTGGCTCCGCAACTAGATGCCTATCCCACTGAGCGATGGAAAAAATCCTGTTGCTTAGTGCAGTAAAGCTCACTGGAGTAGGCCCACTGAATCCATGGGAATTTAGTGAGTCAACTCCTCAGTAAGTTCCACTGATTCAAATGAACCTACTCTACTGGAACTTACTATGCTAAAGTCAGTTACTTATAGAGTAGACCCATTTCAGTCAATGCAAGCATCATTTTTATATATATATATAAATGATGCTTGCATTAACTGAAATGGGTCTACTCTATCAGTAACTTACTTTAGTATAGTAAGTATATATATATATCCCATCTTTCTCCTTGAAAAGAAACCAATATGGCTTACATCATTAAAAGGGCAACCTTTACCTAGAAGTTACAAACAGTAAGTACACAGATATTTGAAAAAAATACTAAGCAACAGAATTTTGGCCATTGTCTTGTATTCTACATCCAACAGGAGGTTCTATTTCAGCTATATACCTAGCAGCAGCTACATTAACAAAACAGGCAGCTGACTGTGTAGGAAGGAAAGCTTATTATCCCTTCAACTTAGTTAGATGGGATTGCCAGCTTTTTAATGTGTTTGCTCCTCTGCTTCAGCAACAGCAGCAAATCATGAGAAAATTAAAACGTGGGATGTTTTGGTTGTTGTAGGTTTTTCGGGCTGTTTGGTCGTATTCTGGAAGTTTTTGTTCCTAACATTTTGCCAGTCTCTGTGGCCAGCATCTTCAGAGGACAGGAGTTAGAACTCTCTCTGTGTTCTGGTGTAGTGTGTGGGATAGTTAAATAACGAATATTTGTAACTGTGGGATCAGCTTTTTGCCCTTTTCAAGAGTTTGGGTGATTATGTTGATCAGGGGGTTTTTTGTTATGGGTGTATTGTTGTGATAAGGGGGGAGATGATCTGTCACTTTGGTTTATGGGTGTTGTTAGCTAGTGATTTGTGTGCAGTGATCACCGGTCCTTGTGGCTAGGTAGAGTTTGCTTATTGTTTGTTCTCAATGCTAGGGAAAATCCTCATTCTGCATGCCAGGCTACTGTTAAAGAAACAATAGCAGGTCTATTAAAAATCTAACAATGCTATGAATGCTATGAAC